TTTTTTGTGGAACACAAGTTCAATAGATTTACCATGACTCAATGTATAGTAACTTGGACCTTTTTCTGATGGACCAATGTTATAATTTATAAATATTGCAACTTTACCCATATCATTATTACCAAAGCTAACTGTAATGCTTTCAGGTATTCCATTGTTTACAGATGCATTAGAGATCTTTGAGATCTGTTCATTAACATAAGTTTTGTCTGCTTTGTTGTCTAAAGAAGTTTGAAGTGAATTTATGTCGGAGATATTGTGTTTATGAGATTTCAAAACTTTGTTCGTTGCGTCAAGTTCATCTTTGTCAGCTTTACTTTTAATAGCATCTTCAACGGTTATTTTTGCCTTAACTCTCAACCTAAATCTTGGCTCAACTAATACACCGTTAACAAAGAAGTATGAAGCATAAATTTCAGCGTTATAACCAAATGATTGTGGTGCTATACCTGTGTCATACTGTACAGTACAGTGTATGTCATAACCTTTAGCACGAATGAATTTATATCTTCTTTCATTAACATTTTTCGTATTCACTTTTTCACCCTGTGTTAAATATCCGTGGTAGTCCGTTATAATCTGTTCATCTGAACTTATATAATGAACATGGTTCTTGTCAGCTTTCTTATCTAACATTGCTGGTAGTTCATATACTTCGAAGTTTCTGGCATGACCTTCAATGTTCGTACATTTACTATCTAAACTGTTAAGAGTATCTTTTACGCTAGTGCTTGGATCTTCTTGTGGAGCACTTGAACCTAAAGTATAGTTCAAGATAATGTCATCAGCTCTTATTTTCTTGATTTGAACTGGTTGGTCATTATCAGCTCCTATTTTATTGATTATAACAGGTTTGTCTTCTCTTGAACGAATTGATTTAACTGTCAAAGGTTCAGTGAACTCATTATTTTTCAAAGGAAACAATGTTGTATTGATGTTTTCACCATTAATATATACTTCTTTTGTATCAATACCAGATGGGAATGAAACTCTTTCATTAACTTTAACTGTTGTACCATCACCTGGGTACATATCTTTCTCTGGACCTTTGATTGTCTTAAGTATGACAGACTGTGATAAAGTATATTCTTTAGATGCAACTTTACGTATCTCTTCGTCAACATAACTTTTGTCAGCTTTGTCTGCAATCTTAAGTGCAGTTCTTCCTCCATTATTTTTGTTCTCCTCAACTTTCTTCGCTAATTCAGCAAGAATGAGATAAAGATAATCAGTAAGGTCATCAGTACCAGACATATTAATATTATTGTTCTTTCTTGATGTATTAGCAACTTTCACTAAGGTCACAAAATCAGGGTACAAAGTACTTAACGTAGAAATGATTGTTTTTGGTCCAGGATCTTTCTCTTCTTCATCATTAGCATCACGTGGCATTGGAATTGGTTCCAAAGGTCCAGTCACATCAAAACTCTCAAGTTCCATATAACCTTCATTTCTGAATCTTTCTATATGAGTTATCTTCTGGAAACTTGTTTTAGTCTTTTCAACTAAATTTTTTATTCCATCCACAAAACCTCCTTTATGATTTGGACCAAGATTACCCAGAGTGTCAAGAACAGTATCTATACCTTCTTGACTTTCAACAAAAGCCCAAAGAGCATTTATTTGACTCTGGAGTGATATCCATGAGGCTGCAGTAGCACCGGCGTTTGCTATGGCAAAGATGAATGATAAAGGGTTGAACTTAAGACCAGATTCTTTATCTTTGACAATTTCAACGAAGTCATTGATATTTTTCTTCAAGTATTCCTTAGTCAGAAGAACTCCATCGCCAGCTATACCAGTTGCTTTTGTCTTTCCTTTAACATCAAATGTGATTGGTTTCTTCAATAAAATAACTTCTGGTGTTGTACTGATGCTATCATTAGTGGAGAAAAATTCTCCGACATGACTTGCTAAGTATTCTTTCGTCAATAATGTTCCATCACCAACAATACCAGTTGCTTTTGGACCATCTTCTGTGAATGTCAATGGTTTCTTTAACATAACTTTATCTAAGTATATTGCAATACCACTATTTTGTACTTGTTCATGACCTAATATATAAGCAAATGCTGCGTTTAAAGCATTATACAATGTATCTTCTTTAAATGTTAATTGACTGTTTTCAATCATTGGTATATTGAACAGTGTAGACCTTGGGTCAAAATGAACTCCATGGTCAATCGATAATAACCGTTTAACATGATATATTATAGTCTCTAATGCTTCATTAATATTTACCTCACGAGTTTCTTGCAAACCATTACTCGCCATACATGAAAACATATAATCTCTATCAGTTGTGAAGAATGGAGCATCTAAGTAATTATTCTCTACTTTTGTCACACGATTCTGTAACGCTTGAAGGTATTGATTTAAGTCTGTTTCAACAATTGTACCATCTGGTTGCTCGATAGGTAATATACCAGGACCGATGGTAATGTCTTCATCAGCACCTTCTTTATGTATGACTAAAGCATTATCAGTAATTCTGAGAGTATATTCTTTATATTGAAGTACGCTAGACTTATAACATTCATATGCATATGGAACAACACTCATTCTTTTACTACATATAAAAATGATGTATTATCTACAATCGACTGATCCTAATAACTACGGGACAATACAGTTTCAAGCAGATCCTAACATGGGGCATCCAAGTAAGATAAAGATGAGAGTAAAAAGTGTCAGTACTATGGCGAACTTTATTGTTTGTGACGAAACAGATTATTTTGTCTTACAGTTAGACGAAGATGGAGAAGAAAAGGTGTGTACATTTAAGTCAGCTCTTTCATTTGATATGGATACTATTGTATCAAAACTACAAGAGATTGTAACAAAACAGTTTGATTATTATAACAAGAAAAAAGGTCAACATAATGTAACAGTTTCACTGAGTGCTACGAATCAACTTATATTTACGTCACAGGACAAAGGACATAAAGTCTATTTAAAAGATGCTTCACATAGAGCAAATCTTATTTTAGGTGCATATGGAATAGAACTACCTATTGTACATAATTATTATCTACAAATGCCAAAACCACCTATGCTCAACTTCGGGTATCAGTTATACCTTCGTTCATCAATGTCTGTCATCTCTGGGTTCAATAATATTGACCAAGTTGATGATCGAAGAAAGATCATGTACAGATCTACATGTTATAACATCAATGAGTTCTGGATATCTGGTAAACCACTTATATGTAAGGAATCCTCACCATGGATAGATGCATTTCCATGGGAACTAACTAATGTTACGTTTACCTTAGTTGACTTCCAAGATCAGCCTGTTCGATTATTGTCACCAATGTTTATGGTGATAGAGATTAAACCAGATAAGCCAGAAGTTAGAGAAACCAATGATGTCAGTGATGATGATACAGAATCTTCGTACGATTATGATTACGATGACGATTAAAAAAAAATAACGTATATTTTTTTATCGGTTATAAAAGACCAACATGCTCAATGCTATAAAAGGATTAGTTAATAACCTTTCACCAGAAGATAAGAAAGGTATGCTTGATATGTTTGGGATCAAAATGCCTAAGAAAGCTAAAGACATTACCAATAAATTAGCTCTGGCAATTAAGAATCAAGGAGGTACAGGAAGTGTAGCAGATATTTTCAAGAATGCTAAGAGCTTCTATGATGACTACAATGGTATCATGAATGTTCCAGCTTCAAATTCCCCAGTTGCTTTAGATCACGATCAGAGATCTCATAATAGAGCGTTAATGGAGATGCAACCAATATACTCAGACCCTCCACCAAAGATTGATGAGAGCGAATTAGCATACAAAGAAATACAGAATGCCTTTTACGTTGTTAAGAACATTAATGGTCAAAAACTTCCTGATGAGAAATGGTTAGACCCAATAACTAAAGCAGGAGAAAGATTCATTATGTTTAACATTGACCAATACAGTCCAAGAGGAAAAGATTACTTCAACAAGATGTTTCCAAGAGTTATGGCAAAGTTCATTGGACAGATAGACCTTTTCAAACAGAAGTGGACATTCTATTACGACTTTGATGAGAAGAGAAACATTTTGCGTCATTTGAACATCAATACAATGGGATCATTAGTTCATCAGTTACTTAATGAAGCTCCAATAGCAGAAGTACAAGAATTAGCATCTAAAGTCCTTGAATCAAACTATGACTTCTTCCTTTGTAGTATTCCTTCGTTAAGGAAGATCGAGATCTTTGACTATACAGCTTATTCAGATGTTGATGCTTCTGCTTTGAGAAAAGGAACGTACACACCATATAAACTCACAGCTGAAGAACAAGTTATGTTAGATACGATGAGAGCAGCAGGTCAAGAAAAGATCGCACTCAAGATCATCAAACAAAACCATTCAAAGAAGAGAAACAGGTCACGTAATGGTCAGCTTTGGACATGGACATGCAAATTACCTATTAACTTAGAGAGGTATCAGATCTTCAACGAACTTAATGCAGAGACAGCAAAGAAGATGATGAAAGATTCATGTTTCATCTACGCTTGTATTCAAGCTGGTGTTGACGAAGCAACAATTAATCATATGAGGGAAATCATTCGTGTCAAAGATTTTCCAATGTCAAAGATTAAGGTTATTGCCAAAGAAACAGGAATAAGGTTCCATGTCATCAAATACAACGAGAAGTATTCAAATCATTCATATACTTATGAACCAGATGAAGAACCAAAGATGACAGTAGAACTTTTATTAATGTATGACCACTACATGTTGAACGAAAAGCTTCCAATAAGTTCAATGTTCATCAAGAACTATGAAGATGTTTGTAAGTTGTGCAAGGATTGGACTTTAGAGAAGAAGATGTTAGTTAACAGAAGATATGAAACAAGGTATGCAATTAACTCAAAGTTAGTTACACCACTTGCAAAAGTCATTGAACTCTTGTTTGCTAACAATTATTTCGAACCAATTAGAACAGGAGAACTTTGCACATACTTCACAACGATGTATAATGAGAACCTTGAAGAAATGATTGACCTCACATACAATGAGCGTTATTGCGCAAGGATGAAGAAAGATTGGAGTTCAGAGACGAAGAAAGACATGAAGTTCCCAAGAGAACATGTTTTCTTTGCTGACTTCGAAGCATCAACTGATGGAAACATTCACAAAGCATACAACATTTGTTTCATGGAAGATGACGATGATGGTTATACATCAATTTGGGGAAGTGACTGTGCGTCAAAATTCCTCGAAGCTTTACCAGATAAGAGTTTAGTTTATTTCCACAACTTATCGTACGATGTCACTTTTCTCATGTCTCAGTTAGAAGAGATTACAGGAACTCCAATCATCAAAGGTTCACAAACGATGCAGATACAAGGAAAGTACAAAGGAAAACTTCTCTGCTTCAAAGACTCTTATGCAATCATCTCAACTAAGTTGGAAAGATTCCCTGAAATGTTTCACCTCACTAGTGGTGAAAAAGAAGTTTTCCCATATAATTACTACACGGAAGAGTTAGTTAATACAACTAAAGTTGGTAACATCGATGATGCCATGAATCATGTCAAAGATATTGAAGCTTTTAATGAGAACATTGAGAAGATTGAAGATTGCAAGATTGATGATGAACACTTTGACATGGAAGTTTATTCGTCATTCTATTGCGGTCAAGATGTACGCATTTTACGAGATGGCTTTCTTAAGTTCCGCAATGACCTCATGACTGAGTTTGAAATAGATGCTTATGATTATGTTTCAATAAGTTCTATCTCAAACAAACTCTTTGAGAAGAGAGTATATTGGAAGAACGGTAATCTCTTTGATCTTGCAGGAAAACCTCGTGAATATATTTCCAAGTGTATTCAAGGAGGAAGATGCATGCTAGCTGAGAACAAGAAGCAATACAATGAAGGAGAACTCATCACTGACTTCGATGCTGTATCATTGTATCCATCAGCAATTGCTAGACTTTACTGTTTAGAAGGAATTCCAAAAGTTATGACAGAAGAGATGAAGAGCAGTGAATACTTGTTGGAGCATCTCTTTGATGATGACCAAGCTGAACCAACAAAGGAAAAGTTCATCTCAGGATTTTACTGTCAGATCGAGATCTTGTCGATCGGTAAGAACTCAGCATTCCCATTGATTGTCGTCAATCCTGACATCAACCCTGACTTACATGTTGCCAGAAGTTCCAATACATGCTGCAAGATGTTCGTAGACCACATTACGCTTCAAGATCTGATCAAGTTCCAAGAGATCTCATGCAAAGTCATTGATGGATACTATTATGATGGAAAAAGGGACATGACAATAAGGAATGAAGTTAAGAAGCTCTTCGAATTACGTGCTAAGTATAAGAAGGAAGGTAATCCGATACAAGAGATCATCAAACTTCTTTTGAACAGTATCTATGGTAAGACGATATTAAAGCCCATTGACAAAAAGATTCGTTTCATCAAGGACAATAAGCTCACTGACTATATCATTAAGAACTATAATGACATACAGACAATAGAGTTCATCCCCGATTCCGAACTTTCATGTGTAAAGTCATTTAAACCTATCGTTCGTCACTTTAACTATTGTCCATTAGGTGTTTCAATCCTTTCTATGTCCAAACGAATCATGAATGAAGTATTCTTCACAGCAGAAGATTTGGGCTTGAAGTTGTTCTATCAGGATACAGATAGTTTACACTTGTATGAGAAGGACTTAGATAAGTTAGCAGAAGAATACAAGAGAAGGTATAACAGAGAACTCATTGGAAAAGCACTGGGTCAATTTCATTCAGACTTTGCAGAGATTACTGCAGGACATATGTCTAAGGCACAAAGATCTATATTCGTTGGAAAGAAGACTTACCTCGACGAATTAACCAATGACCTCAAGGAAATTGCTTTCCACTGTCGAATGAAGGGAATCACACAGGACGTAATTGCACTTACTGCAAACCAAATGTTCCCAGATGCGATACAAGTACATTATGACGAGAAGAAAGGTTTGTTCTTCCCTGAGAAAGTTGGGGAAAAATATAGCATCGTGGAATTGTACAAATCTCTTTATGAAGGTGATGAGATAACCTTTGACTTGTGCATTGGTTCGAAACCATGCTTCAACAAAAATAAGGACTTCACTATTTCAACGAAGTCATCTTTTGAACGTAAGTTAAAGTTCTAAACACTTACTTATTATTTTTCTTAGCTTCTTCCTCTTCTCTCAATTTCTTTGCAATCATTCGTGGATTCTTTGCGCGTCCAGCTGCTAATGCAGCTAATTGTTTCTCTGTGAGTTTACGCTTTGGTTTAGCTGGTTTCTCTTCTTGTGTTTGTTCTTTTGGTTTGAGTTCATTAAGTATTTCTTCACGAAGTTCATTCTTGAGTGCTTCTCTGTCGAAAGTATTCTCAGTCATTTTGTTAGGAGTAAAAAATTTTATTAGGATAGAAATGACGTCAAAACTTTCACCAAGTGAAAAGCAATCAATCATATTGAATGAAGCTAAAGGAATACAACATCCATTATATTATGTTTGTCATATGAAGAATGGTTCAGTTCAAGTTAGAAAGAGAAAGGCACCATTGAATTCACCAGCTCCTGCCCCAGCTCCTGTTGTTCAAGAAGCTCCTAAAGTTGATGAGAAGAAAGAAGAAGAACAAGCATATACTAATAAAATGTTGTTAGAGATGATGACAAAGATATTAGAACGTAACAGTGTAGTTAATGAACCAAACATGGACCCAATTGAACGTGAGAAGGAAACTAAAGAGAATCAAGAATATGTTCAATCAATGGAAGAGAAAAGAATACACTTCGATGATGAACCAGAGCCTGAACCAGAACCTCCTAAACCTCAGCCACAAATAAGACGAATAATCCCAAGAATAAGAAGATTGTAAATTTTTTATAGCTGAGAAAGATGTTGAACGATAACCTCAATACATACAGTATTGCTGATTCCATCAGACAAGTAAGATATTATTTCGATCAAGTTGATGGGGCAGTTCCTATTGGAGATACTAACCATAGATATGTCCCAACAAAAGTGCCAGCTATGCCGACAAATACTATTGATAACGGTTATATTACATTTAACATATCACCACCTGGTGAGAACATGATTGACTTATATAATACGTTCATTAGTGGTTATGTCGATGGTGAGTGCATAATTACAACAGAAACTGAACCAGCTGATGAAAAAGTTCCTAAATATGATGGTGAAGTATATAAAGAAAGAGCTGTTGAGACAGCTCCTACAGGATCAAATGTTACAGCAATTAAAGCAATTGATACTAAATATGCTGGTGGCAAATCATGTGCACATCTTCCAGCAATTTGGTTGGGATACATTGATTCATTCTATGCTGTTGAATCATATCAATTAATCGCTAATGGTAAAAGTGTTTATACACAAGATAATGCTAGAGAAGAAGGTTACATTACTTCTACTGCATCTACAACAGAAGCTATTAAGAAAGTTGATGTATTTAGTAAGGCTAGACATAAAGATGTTTTCAATAGATGTGATACAGTTCGTTCTGGACAGATTATTGAGTTCAATAAACCAATTAGTGGTGCAACTACATTAAAGTTCCACATACCAATCAAGATTGACCTAAGAAGATTCCTAATACTTAATAACATTAGATTCCTTCCAGCGTTTGCTGGTAACTTACAACTTAAGGTTAAGTTCAGTATTGCTGGTATGGTTTGGACACCATTAAGTTATCAGGATATTCTACCATTACCGAACATGCAAGCCAATGTTACAAGCTATATTCCAATCACTAATCACTTCACTCCTATCTATGAAGGTATCAAAGTTATTGATACTGTAACTTGGAATGCCGATAAGAGTACGATATCATTTGGTACCAAGTTTATTAAGTTCACTAAGAAGAATGCAAACTTCTTTGAAATGATTACATACTGTAACTCATTCTCTTTGGACCCTAACATCTATAGTGATTTGGTGACAAGATATTCGGCAAAGACTCTAAACTTCCCAATCAAAAGAATTGACTGCATTACTATGGATGGTTCAATGGCTAAAGGTGAAGGAACTCCTTGTACATTCACGGCAGCATTTACTCCATTATATGTGAACACCATTTATACACTATTTAAGAAAACACCTAATTATAACACTACCTATGAAAATCCATTGTTTGAACAAATTCAATTGAACTGTGGAGCATATGGTAACATACCCGCTGAGGCTCAAGCATCTAATGATCCAATCTTCTATGAGATGCAGGCAAATGCCACTAACAATAATAACGATACTGTTGGCTTCAACTATGATGTCATGAGGTCTATCACAACCACATCAGTCCCTCAATTTGGAATCGAGTCAAATGACTTAGGTCATTACCTATGTGGATTCCCTTGCGAAACTGATTATACATTCCAACAGGGTCAGTTATCTAATTCACCTATTACATATAAGCTTACAGTTAAGCCAACAGCAGAGTCTATTAAATATACTGAGAAACCAGTGTTATGCTTCTTACGTCACGTTTGCCTCTCCATACAGATTAAACAGGTGGGACCACCTATCGTACTTCTCGACGATTATGATTTATCAGCCCCTGCTAGTGAATAAAGGTTAGTTTACATATGAACGTTTATTTTTACACATATATGCGTACATATGCGCGCCCGTATGGTGTCAGTTTTCTGTCACTTTTTTCATTGTGTCGGTGACTGTAGCTGTAGGCTACAGGCGACGCACAATGTATACTGTACTAACATTAACAAATTATTTTAAATCACAAATATCATCCTCATCAACTTTATTTCTAAAAAGAACTGTACTGAATTATGAAAATGCATGATTTACATTATTAAAATCTTTGAATGAAAATAGTACAAGATAAGTTTTTATTCATTTTTAATTAGATTTAAACGAAAAACTACTCCATATTAAAATTTAAGTCGAGAAATCGTATTTTGTTCTTATTTGTTAGCATTTTGTAGACATTCTAATCTTGAATTAATTTGTTACATGATATTATTAACAAATTTAACTGAAAAAATATGTTAATATGGAATAAACCATGATTATATAAGCTATCAATGCTATATATACATATGTAAAAGATTCATATTAACTCAATTAACAAAAATGATAGATTTTCATAAAGGTTCAATCTAGGTTCGTCCGAAAATTTTGATTTTTATATAGAAGACGTTGTTTCATATACATAATTAAATTTTCAAACAAATTTGATCATACCATTTATTAAGCAGGATAGTATATTAATTACTATCAGTATAAAAATATAAAAATGATTATATTTAATTATTGCATAATTTAGTCAAAGAGTTATAAGCCTCAAGTGATCGTTATCACCTTCAATGCACGTATACTTTATTGATTCATAGATATTTAATCTATGTTTGACATGTTGTTGTCGTCATTCGTTTTGTTCCCATTCTTCCTAAGTTAGAATTAGAGAATACACCATCCACATCATCTAATTTGGTCCTCAGCGATAGATTGGTTCATTTTGGAGGAGTCCCATCAGACAGTTTTCGAGCACCAAATATCAAATTTTAATGTATACAAATCTTTAGTGATTTATCTCTTTTATGATGAGTAAAAGGTTTCTGCTCATCAACATTTGATTTCCGACATATATGATTTCTAATTGCAATTATTTACTTTCTTTTTATAATCTAACTCTGTGACTCATACCATAAATTAATTATTGGAAAGTGTCAATATGTTTGGCACAACGCATGGCGGAAGATACCAAACCATGCAGGGAATATGATACGTTTAAGATTTCCGAACTTTTTTTCCAAAAATTTTCTATCGTTGCCCTACCTCTTCAAATCCTTAATTTCTCAAAAATTTTATATCACTTTTGGCGCAATTTATGATTCTGCCTGGGCTTTTTAGTGACGATGATTCACCAGTAAGCCCTAGATATAGTCCATCTCCATCTAGCATTGAGGGACCTATCAGTATCTATGATACCAAGTTTAATTTCAAGCCTTTAGGATATAACGACTTATATTATGATCCAGATAACAAAATTCATGCAAATGAAACGTGTTCAATCTATATTGCTCGTACTAATAGTGACAATCCAGTATATTTTGCGATCAAAGCCTCTAAATTAAAAAATCAGATTTCGAAAGAAGCAGAAAATTTCAGAAATATCGGTAAACATGAAAATATTATCCATTACATTTCCACATGGATTTCAAATGGAATGGCGTATCTTCAAATGGAGCTTGCTGAGTTTGGTTCAATTCGCCCGCGCTACTTAAAACTCCCCACACAAGAGATCTGGAAGGTTTTTGCTCACATAATCTCAGCAGTAGCGTATATACACTCAAAATCGTACATGCATTTAGATATTTCACCATCAAATATCTTACAATGTTCTCATCCAATTGTCGGAAATATATACAAACTAGCGGACTTCGGAACAACGCTACCCGTAGATAATTTTAAAGAGGATTTTGAAGGTGCAGGACCATATGTATCTCCAGAAACACTTCAGTATCCCAATACTGAATATCCGGTTTCTTCTCCAACAGATATTTTTAGCTTGGGTGTAGTATTGCTTGAAATGGTCACTCGTAAATATGCTCCTCGTGCTTTTCCAGCATATGGCGATCTTAGGTCAGGCAAATATGATTTTTCTAAAATACCAAAAGAATTTTCGTTCATTTCACAAATGCTAGCTCCAAACCCAATGGAAAGACCTACCGCTGAGCAGTTATTGAAGTTGGATGGCGTTCAAAGAGAACTTAATTTACTTCATCCATATGTTGACTTTTAATTTTGTTTTTTGTTTTTATCTCGATCTTGTAAATATTTGTTTTTCTATCCCAATTCGAATAACACGCATTTTAGGTTCGATCCGTTTTATTGGCCTGGAATTTTTATAAATCTGCTATTTTTGCAAAACTCTACCATTTGCATGCACTTCAAAAACATGCATTATTTATCTTCTTTATACCTTCAGATTTCAAAGAATGACCAATAACAACTTTGTTTGGGATTTTGTATATGTAATAGCTATTCGATATATGAAACTGTTAGTTTAACTCAGCTAAATTTAGCTATAATTGTGTTAGGAATTAATTGTAATTTAAGTTTTGATTCAATTAAAAATGCATTTAGAGGTATTGAGCAAGACATAGAGGTAAATAGCCGTAACAAATCAATTCTTCTATCAGTCTTGAATTAGATAGATTATTTAATCGAGTCCGATATAATTTCGATCACAGATTCGGCTATAATATTCATTAATGATTTACAACCCTGTGTTTATTCATTTATTTTGATACACATATTAATATCAATGTTTTCCTTTGAACTGATCCAGGTTCCACATACAAAAAGAGATGGCGACCTATGACCAATGTATCCCTTCGTTATTCGACACATAAATGATAAAATATGCCCTGTTTGAACCAGGTAAACAAGGAATCAAAATTAATGAATCTCAAACTGTCACAAAAGTAGGGAATTCCTATATCTTTGATTATCCTTGCGAGGATTCATCGAACTGCACTGATTATGCCATCGATTTGCATCCAGGCGCATATATTTTTGAATTGTATGGAGCATCTGGTGGATCTACACCAGGGTATGTATCAACATACCATTTCCAGAACAATTCCTGCTTGAGCGACACCATTGTCCAGTTCTATAAAGGTAATACCAAATGCCTTTCTAATTATAATTTTGGCGGTGCTGGCGGCTATGTTCAAGGCACCATTTTCCTAAAAAGACACACAAAAATATATGCAACAATTGCTGGAAGCGGAAAGTATGAAATAAGATCAAATTGCGCTGGCTCGATCGACTGTTTTCAGCCAGAAAACATGGTCCGTGGCGGATATGGCGGAGGGAGAAGCTCCTCTGGCTTCAAAGACGGTTCCGCAAGCGGAGGTGGTGCAACATCAGTTAAATTTCTCGAGAATACCCTCTACCACCGAGTTATAGTCAGCGGTGGTGGTGGAGGTTCTGATGATTCTCATTACGGTATTGGTGATGGAAGAGGCGGCTCTGGTGGCGGCCTTATCGCGCAAGGTTGGTGGGAAGATCAAATTTACAAAGACAGTTTAGTCGCGAATTCGACTTTTGGATTCACCTTTGGCAGTGGAGAAGCTGCTCATTTTGGAGATTCGCTGAATCAAAACAGTATTAAAAGAAATAGAAACTTGCATGACTTGTCAGGCGGTGGAGGGGGCTGGTTTGGTGGTTTTTCATCGAATTACCAAAATGCCGGCTCTGGAGGTGGACGTTCTTGGGCCTTAACAAGTGATGCCATAATTCTACCTGGTAATATAGCGTCCCATGATGAGTTTTACTAGGGTTGTTAGATTCCCGACGATAGGTGTCTTGGAAGATTTGCCTGGTGTCATCATAGTGTCTTTAAATCAAAAATTTTATTTTGGAGTTAGTTTTATTGATTTTTCAATAAAAAACATTTCTAAAACAAGAAAATAAAACGATAAAATATTTATATTTTATATAAGGATCTTATATATTTAAAATAAATATCATTTTATTTTTTTCATTGGTGTCTGTCAAACCATAATACACTATTCAAAAATTCAATGTGTCTTGCGGTTTCAAAAGACACCTTCAAATTGAACGATAGCACAGACACTATTGAATTTTACCCATTTTATTTAGTTTTTACCCTTTTTATTTTTAAGAATTAATGACTGAAACAGCCGTTTTGCTATGACCTCAATCACTTTTATTTATTATTTTAAATATTATTTAATTTTATTATTTGAATAGGCCAACTTATATTTGAGAAGCTCAATTTGAGACCACTTAATACATTGAAATATCATAAATATTGAAATATTAAAAAGTGTATTTCAAAATATTGAAATTATAAAAATTTATAATACTGAAATTGAGACAAATTAATAAATTCAATGTGTTTTTTTGAAATAACTCTCAAATATTATTTTTTTGTTTATTTAATGATGAATAAATATGATTGCTTTAGTCAATCATAAAAACTAATTTAAGTTTAAAATAATGAAAGGATAATTTGATCGTTTTTTAAAATACAATTATTTTTGATGATTTGCATGAATCTTTGAAAAGAATATAATATAGGTTCTATTTTTGTAAAATTTATCCAAATCATGTATTACATAAATTACGATTAAAACGATGAAAGAACCAAAAAGTGTGTTTTGTGTTTTGTTGTTGCGTGTTGGATGCGGGATCCTGTTATTTCCGAAATCGACAAAAAAATTGGAAATTTAATTTCCGAAATCGAAATTATATTAATGTTTTTAATATTCTTATATCAAAAGGATTAAAGTTCATTAAGAGAAAAACAATTCTTCTTCTTCAATCTATTGGCGCATTTATTTCTACACGCCAATAAGGAAGGGAAAATTATAAGACACCATGGTGTCTTCACAACGCTAATTTTTGATATTTTTAACAACCCTAAGTTTTACAATCATTTGGAGTCAAAACCTTACTTTTTTGACAAAAACTCGGATTATCTTTTTGTGAACGTTATTCATGTGCCTGGAATATGGGAAGGCAACGGACGCCTGATTATAACAGATCTCTCTATTATAATCAATTCTTGTACTGCACGGACAAGTACGAGCTTATTTTCTTTTTTATACATGGTTGTAATTTATTGAATAAAAAATTTCTATATAATGAATTACACCAAAATATTCTTCCGATTTCGGAACTTTGAGCTGCAAGAGGGCGCAAGGCTCTCCTATTGCATGCATAATGTCATTCAGGGGATTTACATAGGTAATTTCAGATTTTCATACAAATGTCACTATATGAGTATTCAATCCGGAGAACTCATTTCATGCGCTGAAACATCTCAGAACATGAGCGAAGATTAATACCGATTTTGGAAACTTGGACAATGGTGAATTACCATCATGATGGCACCAAATATTGATAATTAACAACATTTAAACATTCGATATTAATAGAATGTGCTTATATACGCATGGTGTATTTACATTTTATAATAGATTGGACCTGAATATAATATTATAATTTGAAAAAATAAAACATCTCATGTATTACAACGAAATTGGTTTCTTCAAAGATAAGATATGCGTATTCCTATAAAAATTAGCTTTCAAAAGCAAATAATTAAATTTATTAAATAGCAAATCAAGTTTGAAATTTCTTTATGGTTACATGTTGGAATTGCTTCATTCATATATTCAATAATAGGAGTATACTTGGAGTTTTCAAAATATTGAAATTGACTTATATTAACGTGGCCAGGTGCTTGTTTGATAATAATATGCTGAATTTGAGAGTAACGACCAAAGTAATTACCGATTGCATTTACAGTTTCAGGAATTACCAATGTGGATATAAAGTAATTTTGGATAGCACCATTTGAGATACTTCTCACTCCAAATGGAACAGAATAATACGAAATACTTTTGCTTTTTGGAATTATGTATAGAGTTGTCATATCTTTTGTATACAATATTCCATCAATGGAGACATAATAGGGATTATCATGAGCAACAAATATATTTTCAAGAGTATCTATGTTATCAAACGAGTTTGCCTTGGATAAATCTTTAACATATTTTGAAAGAGTTATATTTATAATTTTTGAGTTTAAAAAAACATCATTTCCGATTGAAACCAAAGAATCAGGTAATAAAACGTCTTTCAGTGATGTATATTCTTTAAATGCATTATCATTTAAAGTTATAATTCCTTCTCCAATTATTAAGTGAACAGTAGAGGTTTTATACTCTGAAAATGCACTTGAATTAATCGTTCCTGTTCCACTAATAGTAAGAGAATTTATCGTTGAATCATATGATGATTGGATAGGTTAAATTAATTCATAAAAAAAAATTGATGCGTTATCCAGATTTCGAATAAGTTGTATGCCAATATTAAAGCGGATGATTCGATGCCGATCCTTAAATTCAATTACCTGCTTAGAAGCAAATCAATATAAATATCTGTTTTCAAAGGTACCTATATTAAAAAATTATTAGAATGGCATTTACGTGAACTTGAAAATAAAGAAGTATGCATGTGATATCTAAAATTTAAATTGGCGCATTAATTTGAACAAATTATAATACAAATGAATTCATTCAACATTTGTAATTCATTTCCAATGGAAATCAAGGAATTGGGAAAAGAAACATCTTTTAATTCTGAAAAATCATTAAATGCATCAGTTTCTAAAGTAGTAATCCCTTCTCCAATAATTAAGTGGACGGTAGAAGCTTTAAACTCTGCAAACGCACCTTTACTAACTGTTCCTGTTCCACTAACAGTAAGAGTATTTGTTGTGGAATCATACGATGATGAACTCAGTTAATTTTATCTAAATGCTTTTACAAATTTCTAATTAGCTAAGGGCCTAAACGAATACATATCAATATTTGCGTCTATTTTGATTGAGGGTGCACTTATGCCCATCTGACTTTAAATCAAAATTGAGGGCGATATCATACGGGTGTAAGTGCGATCTTTAGAATATTAGATTTGCATTGAAAAAATGTATGAATAGAGATGGTACAAAAAAGTGGTAATTATTCATAACTATAAAATTTTTAATATCGCATAATAAAACAATAAAATACACATATAAAAAAACAAATTACACATTATAAGTTAAGTGACTTGCAAACTTCTTTGTTTCTTTCAGCCAAAGCAGCAATGTTTGTGCAGCACCATTCATCAGGTTTCTCTCTTGCAGCTGCAGCAGCTTTGAGTTCATCAATGTCTTCGATGTTGAATGTTCCTGAATTTCTTGAATTTTCGAAATATTGGAGGTCAAATCCATCAGAAACAGTTGTAACAAAAGGAGCATTTGTGTTATACAAGTTTTCCCAATCGATATCTTCGAAAATCTTGTATTTCTTCAGTTCTTCGGCATCAGGTCTCTTCTCTGGATTCAAATTAAGTAAATCGTGAACGAATTTCTTGTATTCATCACTTACTTCGACGTCATCGGGCCATTCGTACTTTCCTGCAACGATATGAGAGAAAATTTCGGCTTCACTATTTCCTCCGAATGGAGGTTCTCCAACAACAAGTTCGTAAGCGATGACTCCCAATGCCCACCAGTCAACTTTGGGGGAATAGTCACTTCGCAAGAGACTTTCTGGGGAAATATAATGGGGAGTGCCGATAACGCGTCTCTTATGATCGTTGGTGTCACTTTTGGTCGCAGAAGATGGAGCGAAACGGAACATCAAAGATCTTCCTAATTCTCTTTGCTCCAAACCGAATTTTGATAGGCCAAAGTCTGTTAATTGGAGGTGCCCTGAATCATTGATAAGGATATTGTCTGGTTTCAAGTCACAATGAACTACATTTAGAGAATGAATGTATTCTATAGCAAGAACAAGCTCTGCGACATAGAAAGCAGCAACTTCTTCATCAAGACTACCGACACTTTCAAGAAGAGCGTATAAATCTCCGCCTCTTGCGAAGCTCATAACGAAAAATACAGTTGAGCTCGCTCTGAACGACCAAAACAAAGATATTGTTGATGGATGAAGAGCTCTGCACATAACTTCGCGTTCTGTATCAAGGACGTCGTTCTTCATCGATAAATCATCTGCTGGAATTACTTTTAACGCAAAAACATCGCCTGTTTGTATTCTTTGGCACAAGAAGACACTACCATAAGCACCACGACTAATGGGTGCAATGATTTTAAAGTCTCTGAGCCTTGGAGGAGGTAATGGAGGCATCGCATATCCTTCTGTGTAGTTTGGAGAGTCATTGGTGGCTATTGATGATGTAGCTACATTCGCCTTTTGTATTCCATGCTTCATTAAGTGATGACGCCTCTTAACAAGCTCAAAAAGAGTAGGAGGAATCGATAAATTATTTGATTTCACTTGTTTGATGAAATTTGCTGATAAAAACAGCGACATTGAGCTAGTAAATTGGCAGTTCTTGATAACCTGCTGAAGCATTTCCTGTTCGTGGCTTTTTAGAGTTGGTATTTGCTTTTCGATTTCTTCGTTTATGTCTGACCATTCGAGTTTCATTGAGTGACACTCGAGACAGTTGATCGTATGCGTATAGAAATCATCTGCTGAGATCGCACACTCGCATATACGACAAAGTGGCTTTTTCGAGTTTGATGGTGATCCGAAAACAACTCTTTTCGGAGAAAATTCTGGTGTTATTCTTTTAGGCTCTGATTTTATAGGAGATCGTCTCATGAAAGTTGATTGAACTCTTTGGGGCGTGCGGTTAACTGAATCCCATCTTTTCATAAGCATTTGGCTTTGTTGTGATAAAGGATATAATGCGTGCTTGAATTTTAGAAGCAAAAATAAAAATTGGAGTTTTGTTTGATTAAATGAGTCTGAAGTAGGATTTTCGTTGGAATATTGACTGATAATTGATTCCAAAGTTTCTTCTAATGTGTCAAGAGGAGCATCATTTAATTTCTGGAACGTTGCACCGATTTTTAATGCGATATTTACTGCGGATGATATATCTTCGAGAAAATCTCGAATGAGGTCCAATCCCCAGTCCTTTGTCTGTTGGAGATAAACATCAGAATCAGTCGCAAGAGCGTCACGATTCTGGGACATTTTGATTCTTTTTCGAAAAAGTGCCTTGAAATTTGAATTGGCAATAGCACGTTTAAAAATTTGAATTCGATATCTGATTTTGTTACATAGACTTAGCGATCGGAAAATATTTGTACTTATAATAAGATCAGTTCAAAAGCACAATGCATCTTATATAATATTTACAGCATTATCTTTTGATTTTTTAATTTTAATTTATTCGTTGATGCTACGCATAGGATACTTTATCGTTACAACATATAAACGCTTCTGATCAATAATGTTTACCACATAGAATTATCCAACGAATTTAATTGAGTTGAATTTAATAACGGATCTAAAAGCCTCAAGACTGACCATGCCTACAAAAAGTAGATAAAGCATTGAGAGATCTTAACAATAGAGAGTGAAGGTTAACAAAAAAAGGAGAAAAAGTTGAAAAATTAGTAGATATACGAGATGTTTACGAAATAAGTAAGAGTATATGAGAACAATAAAATCTCGTGTAACTATTTAACCACACTTCCAAAGCTGGACGGCAACTTGACCGATATAGAAGTAAATGAAGTGCTTTGTTTCGTGGGTAACGAAGGATCCAAAGGAACGGCCGACAACGCAGTGCCATGTTGGATTGTATGTCTTGTCAAACTCCTTCTTGATGTAGGAGGCAATATCTTTTTCAATGTTGAAAGAGTCGAGGGCCTGGATGGCTGTATCAATGGCCTTCTGCTGCATTTCATCGGACATGTCGACGTTCTTGACAACCGCGCGCTTGTCTTGACTCATCTTCTGTTAAATGATTTGTACGTTATTCAAAATTACCGTTAGGTTTGCCCTTTGGCCAAAAAAGTAAATCGTTGAAAAAGTGCATCAATATGTGTTTACCAATAAATGTAAAACTTTTTGATTAAAAAATCCACTATGAAAGTTTAGATTTCCGTTTATTCATTTTGCATTACAGGTGAAATGAAGTGATAAAGCTGAAATAAGGCTAAGATCCTTGCAAATTGTAAAGTATGCATGATATCCCTCTTCTATTTGTAACTGTCTCACAATTTTATTCTCATTCTGCATTATTTGATGTTAATTATATGACCAATAATCATACTGAGAGCATTATCTGATAAATTTATTCATTAATGCTTTCTAAAAAGAATTGCTATTGTTGAATTGAGAATTTGATTTGAAAACATGTTTTTTAATCAAATACTATGAGGCCAAATTATATGATTACATAATAGCATAGCAAATACTTAATGGAAAGGTTTAAAACAAAATTAACATTCTGAAGATGAAATTGTGAATAAATAATGTAAGTTATTACGAAATGAGAAGACATTTCACAATATGATACAGACTGTAATCATTTATTTCTAATTAAAACATATTGGTTGAGTTGATATTCCATACGTTAAGAAATCATAGATGTCTTCTCGTAAGAAGAAAATCGATCCCATGTTATACATGGGATACGCAGACGAGAAGGAATCTATTGAATCCATCGAAGCAAAGTTTGCAATGATGGAAAACAAAGAAAGGGAGGGTGATTTATCTGCTGAAGAATCTGCTAAGTCAGTTTTCCTTGAAACAGTCACACCCGATCAAATTCCACTCGATGTATGGTTCGATCTTGAAAACTATGGCGAAGAAGAAGAGCAATTAATGGATGATATCTATGAACCAGGCTATTACGATGGAGATGAAGACATTCCGAGATCGATGCGTCGCTCACACTCAAGAGGATCTGGCGAATCTGGTGGTCTTAACTTTGCCAACTTTACTCAGATCGATCATTTAGGTAGTGGTATTGAACTTTGGCCAGATTATAAATTACGCTCAGTTGATTGTGATAAGAATACAGCCATGATTAGTGCAGAGTTTCCAAACGTTCAAGAAGGCCTTTCATACGAGAGATTCCAAGATATTTGCGAAAAGTGCCCAATTACAACAATTCCAAAGATGACACCTAAAGCAATATATGAAATTGCTGGAAACAACATTGATGCAATTATCATGGACGTTCCATTCGGTCATAATGGCTGGACAGGAGCTACTTTTTATCAATTCTTGAGAGAAATGAAGAATACGATTGGCCAGTCATTCTTTGTTATTTGGGCTGATCCTGAACATCTTCCTGATGTTGTAGGCGCTTGCACAAGATTAGAATTAAAGTTCTGCGATTCAATCTCATGCGAGCTTTTGTCTCCAATGGGCGATCCTGTTTCTATTGAGCTCAAGAACGGCTTCCATAGAGAAACAAGAATGCTCGTTATGTATCGTACAGATGATATCAGCAGAAATGACCTTGCTCAGCAGAGAATCAAGGATACTGGTTGGGGTATCTCAGTTCGTGGTGGAAAGACCTATGATAGATATTCAATGCCAATGGTCGCCCACCAAATTATTGAAACAATGCTTCCTCAAAAGAAGAACAAGCGCCGCGTCTTCGTAGAATTATGGCCTTCAACTTATAACAGACGCAACGGCTGGACAATGATTAATGAAGCTGAATACGAAAAATAAATAAATATTAATTTATTCAAATCATTTAACTTTTATATGTTTTTCTTTAGTTCAATTAAGATAATGCCCTTGGTACAAAAGATTTTCATCATCAATTATTTGAAAATTTTGAAAATATGATCATTAAATTGCGAGATTAGAGTGTTTACTGTTTTTCTAGAAGACATTGATGAATTTGTGATTCATTGCTTATAGAGTTATATGCATTCCATTCAAATCTATTTTTTTGCCCTCAATAATCGTAAATCATTGAATCATGAATGATGCAAAAGTAATTAGTAGCAAACAACTTAAAAGCATTACTCCTCTGCTAACATTCATCATAGATGGAGTTAAACTTTATCCTCATTCTAAATATCCAAGACCATTATTAGTTACAGATGAAGAAGAATTTGAATCACAAAAAATTACCAAGAAAGACATAATTACAGAACAACTTTATCATGTTCTATACTTCCTTCAAAACACTGCTCTTAATCTCTCAGGTCAACAAAGAGTTTTACTCAGAACAGAAGATAAACAAGTTATTTTTGTTGATCCCAGACTTAAAGTACCAGATGTCTTTGATGACTATCTTGCTATGCTTCATTTACTCATGGAAGACCGTCGCGTCTGTTCAGTTGAAAAAGGTTCAGAAATTATGAAGTTTGTAAAGAGTGATCTTACTCATAGCATTCCAACAGGTGCTAAAAGAATCGCTGCCTATCTTTCAAAGACAGATTCAGTAACATCCCCTGATGAATTTTTGAAAGCAGAACCTACAGCCGTCTACATACATTTAGATCCAACTGTACAATCATATGATGAAGTTTTGCTTGGAAAATACTGCGTTTCAAATGATATATTGTCTGCTGTTACTTTAGCTTCAAGAATCCTTCATAGCATGGAATCTAAAGCTAATTTGTGGTGATTAAATAGAGATAGAGTGTTGTTACTTTTAAATTTTTATATTTTGATAAATATATTTTTATTTTTAGAATGATTTTAAGATCATTGGCTTCAGAAAGACCAAGATTTCACAAAAAGTTATGTTAACGAATGTAAACAGAACAAAAAAATTATATTTATTAATAAAACATGATAAATAATAATATAAATCATATCTAATCAGGGTATTGTAATTTTTGTTGATCAAATCTATATTTTGTGTAAACAATAAGGAGATTCAAAGATTCAAGAGGTATTTCATTCAAATTTATCGTATTTGCTTCATTCGTTTCGTATTTTGCATCAAATAAAGCAAGGATACGCCCTATTTGGACTCTATCTATTTCGTCTGTTAATTTTGGAAGTGCTTCGCATAATCTTCGAACATGATATTCCTTATTTTTCGAATTTAATGGTGCTAAGAACTCGTTGTTAGCCGCAGCATATGAATACTGCGTCTTTAATTTTGTAACATATGTTCCAATACTATCAATCCAATCGTAAGTTGATAGAGGAAGCTTACTAAGTATGAGTTTGTTTGCGAATTTTTCCATTTGGCGTGCAAGTTTTGAAACTATTGACTGTTCTCCTCCATATAAAATTGCATTACTCCAGATAAGCTTGATATCATCCTTCCAATCACTTACACTCGCGTATTTCTTGTCCAATAAATTAGAACGAACTTCACTTAGCGTTTTTGGATTTTTGATTTTTTCATAATATCCGGGAGCATCATCCTTTTCAGGATCAACTGGTTCAAGAAATAGAGCGCTTAAAGGATGAGAAATAATAATGTCTGTAATCTTTAAGCATGTTTTGATTTGATCTTCGAAAGATGTTGGAATAGTATTCATTAAATTTAAAATAGGGAGTGTTTTCATAAAAAACGAGGGAGAAGTTGGAAAATCTCTTTTAATTTGGAATTTTTCCAAAATATAAGGGGACCATTCCAAACAATTACAAAAACCTATTCAACTTGGTAAAATAGTAATTAGTGGAATTTTTGTAATTCATTCAAAATTTGAATGCACAAAAAAATCCAAATCATTTTTATAATTTGTCTTTAAATGCCTGATATCAAAATCGATTTCGCAGATTCACAGATCACATGGTTTTATGCCGATACCTGGACTGTTGAGCAGCTCTGCAAAGATATCCAACAAAAGATCGACATTAAAAACAAAATCCAATTAGGTTTGTTCGGAAGTGTTTTGCAACCGGACATGCAACTTCTCGATGCAGTGCTAGTCACAGATTCGCTTTCCATTTTGGATGAAAACGGAGAATCAACGATACAAATTCCAGAAGGCTTCGAGCCAGATCCTCCTCATGGCCAGTACAAGGTTTTCACAACATGCTCCTACGAATCACTCTACAAAGGCGAATTAATGAAGCTTGATCAAAACCTTGAATTCAATCAACAAAGACAAGAGATCATTAGCATAATCAAAGAGAGATACAACAAGGATAACATCGATGTACTTATTTACTTGCCCGGCGCCATCCTTTACACTACAGGAACAATCGCAGATTTTTATGACTGTCATCCATCTGCCAAGAAGAAATTATACGTCACAGTCATCAGTACAAAGATCTCTGAATACGCCAGACTCTCAATTCCATCCTACTACAGCGAAGTTAATCCAAATCCATGCTGCATTTCGGATCCTCAGAAAATCTTCAGTGTCAGCGTTGTTCACGAACTCGATCAAACACAGCGTATTTTTGGCGGTGCTGTCCTTGGTTTACTCTGCAATACCGATGCAGATATCCTTGAAAAAAGCATTGGTTGGTTTGAGAAGAATCTCAGGTTCTCACCATGCATCATTTCTCTTTTCGAGATGCAGAGCAGATCACAAGTAAGATATCATCACATTCTTTCCCTTGTTGCCACATTATTTACCATTGTTGAAACCATTTTCAAATCAACAACAAACATTTGGGAAAGAGTTCTTGATTTATTGAAATACATTGACAGCCAGTCAATCAATTCTCCATCCAGAGTTTCCATTGTCAGACAGCCTTTCTTGAATGATTCCGCCGGAAGTTATTTCCTCAAGAACATCCAATACTTCCAAATTTATGATCACGTTTGCAAGTATTCATCAGATTTCTCCAAATCAATGTCATTCATCAAAGATATGGAGTGTCCAACAGTGAATGAAATCAACCAGTCTCAATCACGTATCTTCAGAGTATTCACTGTTACTGATGCTATTACAAATCCACATCCAATGATCTTCTTAGGAAATGGAGCTCATCTTTTATCTTTGGGAACATCGTACATGGATAAATCACAGAACCAAATTGTTTCAAAGAAACTCGTAAAAGTTATTGATCCAAGAGAAGGAGAACCACGAGATAAACCATTGGATGAATTCGCACAACAACTTCGTGAACAAAAAATTAAAATTGAAACACCAAGTGAAGTGAAACAAATCAACATCATTTGTATTGATACATCAGGATCAATGGGCGGTACAAAGATTCAAATCGCTAAGACATGTTTCAAAGTAATTGTTAACAGAGCATATGAAGTTGGTCCTTCATCTCTTTGGGGATTATACACTTTCAACTCAACTCCTGAAAGAAAACTCAAATTATCTCCAATTCCTGCTGATTTCCACACACAAGTTGATAAATTAGGAGTTAGTGGATGCACTGCTCTTTACTATTGCATCATCGCAGCAATGAATGAAATAAACGAAAAAGTGAAATCGGATAGTTCTTATAAGAATGCATTGAAAAGAATTATTGCTTTGACAGATGGTGGAGATAACACTTATTCTCATAATACAGCACGTGGAATTGCAGATCTCACTAAACAACTCATTGATAATGGAATCTATTTGGATTACATCGAACTTGGAAATGTCGGAGACATGAAATTACCAAGAAACATGGCTTATTACACTGGCGGTGATTATTTGAAATTCACTTCTGATATTTTCCAAAGCAGCAGCTCAAGGGTTGATATCAGAAAGATAAGAAGTGTCTTCGAAAGCGATGGATTCTTTAATCTCACGCTCAGAAAGTTTAATGCTGTAAAGAAAGGTGTCGAAAATCTTTCTACAATTATGCTTGAAGATCGCAGCCCAATCATGAAGATTCCTGTCAAGAATTTCAACTACATGGATAAAGATTTAATGACATTGACAACAGCCATTTATGAGATTGAACAAAAGGATTCAATCACTACTCTCGAGAAGGAGATATTAACTAATCTCCAGGACTGTGCCGCACATTTCAATTCTCAGAAACTCGAATCAAAGAAATTTCACATTTTCGTTGCCAAAAACACGGAATTTAGGAATTGGAATTTGTACTTGAGAGCAAAGAAAGATTCTCCATACGGTCCAAACAAATGGCTCAAGCTCGCTGTCATTATTCCTGAAGGATTCCCAGTAACAAGTCCTGAGATAAGATTCTTGACAGTTCCAAGACATCCGAATATTACTATCGATGGATCAATTAACATCGATGTTTTGAGGTCAAGACACAACTCAAATGTCACAATTTACTTCGCATTGTTGGCAATAAGGAATTTGTTATCGAAGCCCAATTTCGATAGCATACAGAACATGGAAGTCTTTGATGCTGTTGAGAATTTGTCAAACAAGATTGACGCAATTACTGATAAGAACTTCAAAGGTGAAGTTTTGCCAAACATCAAAGACGATGTTCCTGAAAACGCTGCCATCAACTTCGGTGTCGGAAAGACCGTCAAGCCTGAGTTTTGCGATCCATTCACTTTCAGATGGATGAGAGAACCTGTTTTGGCTTCATCAGGAAACTACTTCGATAAAGGTCCTCTTCTCACAAAGATCAAACAATCAAACAGTGCTTTGATCGATCCATTGAATGGAAAGCCAATAACAATCGACGAGCAGGCTCAAGTCGATAAGATTATGCTTGGAAACATAAGAGAATACATGGTTAAGCATTTCGGTGCTAAGAACGTTCCAATTTAAAATTAAAATAATTTTTTTTACTAAATTCTCAAGATTTTTCTTTGGTAGAGATATTCTATATAAATGATTTGCTTATATATGTAAATTACCAGTGCAAACTTTACTTCAATGATCTAAATAACAAGTTATCTAGAATGTTTGAGATAACTCATAATTATATTTGCCTGCAAAATCCTTTGTAATACTCTCAATATTGGGATCCTTATGGTTGGTGAAAACTAGCTAACGTTACAGACATTTTTCATTTCATAAATATTAACTAAATAAACATCGTGAATGTTGCATTTTCAAAAATATTCCGAGAGAAAAAAAATATCAAATTCGTTACTTTTATTATCTCAGATCATAATAAATGTTATTTATTGATAGTATTTTATTTATAATCTTAAAAAAATTGTTGAATGATTTTTTTGACTTCCGAATTTTCAATTACGGGCGTAATAATAAATGGTCTTGATTCAGCTCAATAACCAAATCTTACAGAGGATTAATAACTATCAAGCGCTTGATAAAGTTATATTATCAATCAACAACGTTGAAATCACACTTACTAAATCGTTTGCTGTTGCAATTTCTCAAACTTTTTACTCGCAATATCTATTAGACAATAATATTGCTAAAATTGATATTCATACAGATGTAAAGTCACAAGAAACGTATAATGTATTAAAGGACATTCTTCAATACAATAAAACGGATATTGAATGTGATGAAACAATTTTAAATGACCTTTTCCATATCGGCATTATTCTTGAAATGCAAGAACTCACTTATTTATATAAAATGCATGTTATTGACAAAATGAAAATTGATAATAATAATTGCATTGATTTACTTGAATTTTATTTCGATATTTCTTCTCAAGAAAATATTATTGAATGCATTAAATATATATCATCAAATTTCTATGCGATTGATTCAAATAAACTCAAATTAATTTCGAACAAACTCGGAATTGACATTTTGCAGCAAATATTTAGCAGTGATGAACTATTACTTGAAGATGAAGATTCATTAGCTAACTTTATTATTTCTTTAACAAAAGAAAACGAAAAATTCTATCCATTGATAGAAAACATTCATTTTGAATTCTGTAATGAACAAGTTATCAAATCAATGAAAGATATAGTAGATCTGAATAACTATCACTGTGTTGTTAACTCACTTTCTGATTCATTACTAAGATCCAGAAATCCTAAATCTAAAGATAGAATCTTGCAATGTGAAAATAAAACAAATTATTTCAAAAGCGGAAATGTTGAAATGTCTGCTTCATCTATAGGTAGTGGACACTCCATTGATGTGATTAATAAATATAGAACTGATACATATTTTAAGACTGAGAATATTCCTAATTCATGGGTTCAGTGGAAGTTAAAACAAAACATTGCAATTCAACCGACTGAATATATTGTTAGGACATTCCATAGTGGAATATCTTCATATCAACTTCAAACGTGGAAAGTTGAAGGAACAACTATTAACGGAGAAACAAAAATAATTCATGAAGTTAATAAATCTCCATTAAATGCAGGAGAAATTCGAAAATATTCTCTAAATACAAATGATAAATTTATATCATTCAAATTGATTCAAACAGGCAAAATTGCATATAGCAGTCCTAATGATTCTTTGCGTCTAGATGTTTTTGATTTTTCTGGAAAGATATTTAGTAAATAATAGGTTTTTTTAATTGTTAATGACTGAGTACTTTTCCAATTTTTGAATACTTTACTTGGGTTTTAGATCAAATGATAAGCTTAAGCAGTAAAATCTATCAAAAACTCACGAATGATAAGAATGCCATCAGCTTCAGGAACAGATCTCAATTTGACATATGTTTCCTCATTTTGGAGGTTTTATTGAATGACGATATCTATTTAATTATTAATTTGCATAACAATTTCCAATTTTAATTAAATTGGAAGGGAAGTAATCGAGTTACAACATTTTCAATATTTATTGTATTTAATTCTGACTATTTTCGTTAAAGGTGATCTATACACTATTGATTATATAATCGTGGAGCAAAATAAGGTGGAATTTATTCTAATCGACTGATAATGTATAAAAATTTATATCGTTACAACTTTTTAATTCATTGATATTATAATTTTACTACTTTTTATATGGAAATTATATGATTTTGGTCGCTTAATAGAAAAAAAAATTAAATTTTAAAAATGAGTTTAGGAAGAGTCAATCAAAAATTATATTGTGAAGCTTTTCCTAAATGTAGTGATTATATTAATACATTTAATGAAATATATCAACTGAAATCACGCAATATCAGCGAGATTAAATTGCTCTATCAAAAAATCAAAAATTCTTTAATTAATACAAAAATATTATCACCTGATGAAATGGTAATTGCTATTTCCAAAGCAGTATTCAATAATATTGGTCACATACAATCATATCTATTTCTTTTTAATCTAATTCATGAAGAATTTAATACTACTAATATCAGAGAATTCCCTGCATTTTTGGATTTCCATCTTAATGATCTATATAAGTTTGTTTTTAATAAATCAAATATAGAAAGATTCGAAGAAGTTTCAGTTAATTCAGCCCAAAGTATTTGTAAGACAATCATTGAAAACGACCTTAAAGCATTTATATCTTGCACAGAAGTTGATGAATTTGAAAAAAATCAAATAATAACAACAGATGAATATTCAGGATCAATTGAAGAATATACTGTGTTAGAGTTATGTTGTTATCATGGAGCAGATGATTGTTTCAAGTTTTTACGTTCAAAATACAAGCCAAGGATCACTAAAAAATGTCTTCAATTTTCATTTCTGGGTGGAAATCCGTATATAATTAATGAATGCTTAAAATACATAATTCCTGATGATAATGATATGAAGTATGCCATTGTTTCGCATAATATTGATTTTGTTGCATTTTTAATGAATGAATGCAATTTACAAATTGACTATAGAGAATGTTATAATTACAATAATATTCAAGCATTTTTGGTTTGTTTAGATCAAGTTAGTGATATTAGTCAATATTTTGTATTTTCAACACTCTTTAACATTCCATCTCTATGTGAATACTTGCTTTCCTATAAATTTAATATCAATTCATTGTACCTTGAAGAGAAGCCTGCTATTTATTATGCATTTAAAAAGAACAACATTGAAATGATGAGGATACTTATTTCAAATGGGGCTTTTCTCAATTGGAGAGATTCTGAATGTAAAACAATCCTACATCATGCAGTTATAAACAACAATATAGAATGGGTAAATTTTCTCCTAACAAATTATATTGATATCAATGCATCAGATTGTTCAGGGAAAACTGCTCTTCATTACGCAATTGAATATAATTATACTGATTTGGCAAAAATACTCATAATGCGTAATGCGTTTCTAAATGCCGTTGATAATCAATTAAATGATCCTCTTCATTATGCAACACAGAATAATAATGTTGAAATCATTGAGCTTCTCCTTTCTCATTGTGCATTCCTTAATAATTTTGATTCTCAACATCAAACAGCTCTCCTTATTGCTGCAAAAACTAATAATTATAAGATTGCAAATATGCTTATTTTGCATGGAGCGTTCCTAAATGCAAAAGATGAAAAATCAAATGCTGCAATTCATTATGCTGTAATAAATAATAATGTAGAAATAATCAAATCCCTTATATTACATGGTGCATCCATAGATATTGTAGATAATCTCAATAATACAGCACTACTTATTGCATCACAGAACAACAGCACAGATGTTGCAAAGATACTAATTTCGCATGGTGCATCTCTAGATAATGTTGATGAATGTGAATATACAGCATTACATTATGCTGTAACAAATAATAATTTAGAAATAATAAGATCACTTATTTCACATGGTGCATCCCTAGATATAGGTGATTATAACAGAACCCCATTGCATATAGCATCACAGGAAAATAACACAGATATTGCTATACTTCTAATTTCGCAAGGTGCATCTCTCAATAAAGTTGATGAATATGGAAATACCGCACTCCATTTTGCAGTAACAAATCAAAATATAACACTAATCAATTTCCTTGTCACATATGGTGCATCTTTAAGTATAATGAATAAAGATCATCAAACAGCACTACTGATGGCGGTAAAAGTTGATAACACAGATATTGCAAAACTTCTAATCAATGAAGGTTCATATATTAATATAATTGATACTTACGGAAATACAGCACTTCATTATGCAGTAACAAATAATAATTTAGAAATTATAAACTTTCTTATCACTCATGGTGCATCTTTAAGCATATTAAATAGAAATAAGCAAACAGCATTACTTATCGCATCAAAATACAATTACACAGAAATTGCGAAGATTTTTATATCAAATAAATCGCATCTAGATGAAATTGATAATTTTGGAAATAGAGCTATTCACTATATTGCAATGCATAATAATATAGAACTACTGGATATTCTTATTAATAATGGCGCCAATATTAATGCAAAAAACAAATCTTGGCAAACAGCACTTCATATTGCAGCTCTAAATAATAAGGTTGAGTTTGTTAAAATTCCTCTTTCTCACGGTGCACTACTAAATGAAAAAGATGTGGAAAATAAAACAGCTTTGCAGATTGCTACAATGAATAATAATACAGAAATTGCAAAGCTTATTATTTCTCGTGATGACTCGTTTATTGATTCAATCGATACATTAAATCAATCACTTCTTCATATTGCTACTAAAAACAATAACAATTTAATTGTGGAAGCTCTTATTGCCCACGGAGCTGATATGAATGTAAGGGATTACGTGAATAAAACAGCTCTTCATTATGCTTTTTTGAATGATAATACGGAGATAATTGAATTAATAACTCTTCATGGTGGTGATTTAAATTTGGAGGATAATGATGGAAATATTGCTCTTCATTATATGATTAAAAATAATCGCCAAGAATTTGTTAAGCTTTTAATTTCTCATGGAGCAGATGTAAATACAATAAATAAAAATGGTAAAATTCCCCTTCAATTGGCAGTAGAAAATAATTTGAAGGAAATTGTAGAATATCTGGTTTCCCATGGTGCCAATATCAATCAAAAAGATATGAAAAATGGACAAACACCCCTGCAATATGCAATAATGGAAGATTACGAAGATATTGCGAAATATTTGATTTATCATGATGCCAATATTAATGCAAAAGATCAACTTGGAAGAACTTCTTTTCACTTTGCCGCTGGAAACCACAATATTGGATTAATGAATCTTCTTCTTTCAAAGAATGCAAATATCAATGAAGTTGATAATTCTGGAAGAAATGCACTTCATTATGCCGTCAATAATGATAATTGTTATGAATCAATAAAATTTCTATGTGACAAGAAGGCAAAAATAACAGAAATAGATATTTATGGTAATACAGTACTGCATTTTGCAATAAGAGGAAATTCAAAAGAAAGTATAGAATATCTCCTTGAAAGAGGGGCAGATAAACTAGTAAATAAAAGAAATTATAAAGGAAGTACTCCACTACATTATACTGCGATAGATAACAAAGAAGAAATTGTATTTCTTCTGATAAAATATCATCCCAATTTAAATATAAAAGATAACAAAAAAACGAATGCTCTGTTATATGCTTTGGAAAATAACAATGAAAGAATCGCAAATATGCTAATAATAAATGGTGCTGATGTCAATGAATCTGATAATAATGGATGCAAAGCAATTCATTATGCAGTAAAGAAAAATTTTCAAAAAACACTTGAATTACTTATTAAACATGACGTCAAGATCGATGGGAGAGATTTAAATTGGCGGACCGCTCTTCACTATGCAGCTATATGCAATAATATAGAAATTGCGGTTTTACTTTTAGAACATGGTGCTGATATAAATGCAATGGACGAAGATGAAAGAACCGCCCTTCATTATGCCTCAGAGACAAATTTTGTAGCCATGGTAGAAATTCTTCTTGCTCATTATGCAGATTTTACTGTGGTGGATAAATATGGCAAGGTTGCCTATGATTATATTGATGCAGATAAAGGAGAAGAATTAGCTAATCTTTTAAAATCATATGGGGCAGATAATAAAGGTGCTAGTGTTGGCTATTTATGTAGAATCTAATTTACTTTGTAGAACATATTTAATTATTTAATATTTTTTTTAAACTTGTAAAGATTTTATTTAAGAATTTGAACTCAATATGTATCTTAGAAAATCTCAATAGATCAAATTTGTTAATTTGAGAAACAGTAAAAATAAATTAGAAATAATGATGAAAAAAGTAATAATTTTATGGAAAATCAGTAACAATAAACGAATAAGTATTTAATAGCGTTCGCTACGGCCGTAATCACGTCTGTCATCTCTTCTTCTGCGATCATCATCGTATCTTCTGTCATCATAGCGGCGGTCATAGTCGTCGTACCTGCGTCTGTCGTAATCATCGCGCCTGGAGTCACGTCTATCGTATCTGCGGTCATAATCATCATCATATCTTCTTCTGTCGTAATCATCGTATCTGCTTGAGTATCTATCGCGGTCGCGTCTATCGTCGCGATAGTATCTGTCGTCAGAATACCTCCTGCGGTCAGAATCTCTCTCACCACGAGATCCGCGGTCGCGACGGTCACTACGAGGCTGTTTCTGATCACCTTTTGCAAATTCGACCTCAATCTTTCTTCCATCTAACTCTGTGTTGTTCATACTGTCAATTGCCTTTTGGGCGTCTTCCTTGAGAGCAAAACTGACGAATCCATAGCCCTTAGACCTGTTTGCCTGATTTGTTGGGATCTTCGAACTAAGAACCTCACCGAATTTTCCAAAAATTTCTTTTAATTTTGGTTCTGTAAGTTCAAATGGGATATTGCCGATATGAATAGAAACACCTTTAGGAGTTTCGGTCTTCTCTGCTTGGCCCTCTGGCTGCTCCTCTGGTTTCTGCTCCGTTGGTGCGTTTTCGCCTTCTTCAGACATTGACAAAAGTGACGTAAATGTAAATTTTATGATTGGTAAATTGAAAGGAAATGGCGGTAATAAATTCAATCAAAAAAATTTTCCATTATAGAATTTTTATTATGGAAAAAATCTCAATAAACAAAACTATTTCATGCTTCTTGGCTTCGATTGAGAGTAACTCAAACTGGATTAACACTCTAGGACTCAATATTCACTTATTAATTGGATAACTTTGAATCATTATAATTTCATCCAAAATTATGTATGACAAATAATTTCTCATGATCAGTATTTGTAACATATTAATTTAGCAATATGTTACAAATCAATTTCAAATTTCTAAAGTAAATTGTGTTAAAAAGGGCAATATGTTGTATAAATTTCATTTGGACATATGTTTAATAGCATGGGATGAGTATTCTCCATGCCATAAGAATCACACTATTGAGAATTTTACATGTCATTTGCCGGCAAATATTATGTAAAATTTTCTCAATACTTTAAAGTGTTAAAAGGGGTAATATGTTTAATAGAATGGGGTGAATTTTCACCTACCCCGATAGTACTTTCAATATTACGCCTCTAACTGGCACAAATCTCCTAAACTTGTGTCAATTTGCAAAATCCTAATTATTTATACTTAAATATTTGAGATAACTCTATAATATAGTAACAATCGATAGTTAAAGTGTTATATCATAAGGGAAAAAAACGTGATTACTTTTAAAAAGAAAAATATAGTTTAAAATCTTTTATTCTTTCTTTGGTTCAACAGTTTTCTCTGCCGGCTTTATCTCTCTGAATCTCGGCGAGTTGACAAGTCTCATTCTTGCCTGGAGGACCTTCTTCTTGAAATCTGGAGATTTCTTTCCTTTTTGGATGAGGATAATGATTGCCTGGATTAACATGAAGATTGCGATGAGTAAAGCAACAACGAAATTCTCCTTTGCCAACGATTTGATCTCAACAGATTGAGTAACTGCATCATAAGCATCCTGTCTTGTTCCGTCAGTGCATGTATTGATGTAGTATCTCTTTATTGAGTTTGCACCATCATTTAGTGAGCCATTGATTGTTCTCTTGCCTGTTCTTGTGAAATCTGTCTTAAGAGCAGGAGTTCCTGAGTACTGCAAGGAAATGCAGTCAGCATTATCTGTCCATGCATTTCTAAACAGCGATTCGTAGTTGCAAACAGCTTCAGAAGCTGCTAATTGCTTATCAAGTATCTTTCTTGCGAGAACTGACTGAACAACGTTAGTTCTATCGAGGCAATCGACGCAGTTTGTACGAACAACACCATTTTGGACCTTCTCGCCGTTGAGTTCTGTCCATCCTTCGTTATCAAGGTCTTCTGAGATGGTATTGACGAGTTTGTCGATGTTCTGGTACTTCATCTTGGCGCATTCCTTGTGGAAATCGAAGTATTCGAAGCGAACGTTCTCGGCTTGTTTTCCAAATTCATTAAATGTCTCTGTAAGTTCGAGTTCTTTGCCTTTGTGGTCTGTAAGACAAACAGCAATGACTTTACCATATTCGTCGGTAATTGTCTTGAAGTGGCGATCGAGAATTTCATGATTATGCTCGCGATCTGCTAATCTCAGCCTTGGAAGGCGGCTGAGGTCAGGATATTGTGTCCACTCGAGAGGAACAGAGCCTCTGATCTGGACGAATGAGTATGTTTCCTTTTCTGTGATGACAACTTGTTCTGTTTCAACAAAGTTGGCTACATGGCCTTCTTCGTCAGCACCACGCATCCAGAAACGTGTACCAGCACGTGCGGCGTCACGGCGAGAGATAAGAGCGAATTCAAATTTCTCTGCCTTGAATGATGTAATGAAACCAGCAATAACTGGCTGGCAAAGTCCTTCAACCTTTGTGCTCTCAACGAAATGCTTGATGGCAACGCCATTCCAAATGAAATGCTGGCGAGAAGCTGCTTCTTGCTTTTGAAGCTTTAAGTTGAGAGAAAGATCAACTGTTTCACTGTAGTAAAGTGGGCTAAGTGAGAGGCCTTTCTTGAGGAGATTAATGGCTTCTTGGTTGACTGGTCCTGTTGTGATTTGATAAACTTCAAAGGAATCAACTTTGTTGATGCCCCAAAAGCTTGTGACGTTGCTGACAGCTGTTGAAACAGCAGCAAGCTTAACACCAGCAATATCGAAAATGCCAAGGAAATCAACGATTGTATGATGATTCTCTGTATTTTGAAATTGTGGATTCTCGATTAACTCGTAAACTTTGTTGCGGTTGAAAGCAACGGATTTGCCCTTGGCTTGAACAAAGAATCCTTTTTCGTCGAAGCAAATGAAACTCATTTGATTGTCGAAAAAATGTGAACTAAATTTTATATCCTCATATCGAAATAATAGAACATACATCAGATGATGAATCTATTGAAATAATTCCAAAGTAGGTAAATTTTTCATTGCCAATTTTTGTAAAATATTCAATTTATGATCGTTCGGTATATATTGAATTTGAATAGATAGGAATTATTTTTACCATTTTTTGCTTCCTACTCATGATGATCTGCAAGTTATGTGATAGAGGAACTAAAAACAAGATGTTGACCTTATTTTTCCATAAGATTTCATGAAAAAGATTAATATTGATGTTCTTATGACGAATTTGGATGATTATCCAATATAAGTTTGCGCTTTAGATTCAAATAAAGTGATGTTTATCATTAAATAGGAGTAGGTGACAAAAGTGCATACTCTTAAACAACCGTCGGATTTCCGGGTGAAATCGTGACACACTTTCGTCTTTCGTAGGCAGTGGTGGTTGTTACAAAAGGTAACTTCGAATGTAGCGTGAAATCTGCAAAAAAAATTCTGAAATTTGAATGGAGAACACAAAAATTGAATAGTTTACGTCAATAAAAAAGAGAAAAATGAAGCCAATGTGTCTCGAACCTAGGACTTAGAGCAGCAATCCAACTGTTTATCCCATTACACTACATGCATCTCTCACCTCAGTGAATGAGATCAACTATATGATAACTTTTTCCCCATTATATTCTTGTGGAAAAGTGACAAATTGCAACTTTGACCCTCTCTCTGTTCTTATGACGAATTTGGATGATTATCCAATATAAGTTTGCGCTTTAGATTCAAATAAAGTGATGTTTATCATTAAATAGTCCAATTTGGTATAATGATCTGAAAAATTATAAAAAAATCAATATATGATAGAAAATATAAAACATTTATTCAATATAGAATCGCATTACAAAATTATCAAAATGAGAACTCAGATTAATGTCTTTTTCGTAATTTGAAAATGTAATTATACCTTTGTGGAATGTCTGTGCTGTGAAGTGCTGAAGATGATATACAATCAATTGGAATTCCAGATTCATTAATCATTTTAAGATATTTCATGGTTATTCTCTCAATGATAAGAGGGCATTGAATTGATTTGCATTCATTGAATGCATGAGGTTGAACAACTTTTACAGAAAGAGGGAAGTTGATGTATCTGAGATTTGGACAGTTATTGAAAGCAAATTCTTCAATTAATGAAACACTGTTTGGTGAGATAGTTATGTTCTCAATGTTTTGGCAATGATTAAAGGAGTATTTGCATATAGTATTACAGTTGATATTTATAACTTTGTCTATTGACTGGCTCAGGTGAAGGATAAGATCAAGTTTGGTTCCATTTTTAAAGTAAATTGTGTTATAAATAGATTCATATTTATCAGATGAAAAATTACTTATATTATTGAGTGATTTGCATTCTGAAATTGAGTTAATAGAGAAATTTGTAAGTGAGTTTATGTTTGCGAAGATAATCGATGCAAGATTATCGCAATTTAAAAATGCATTTTCTGATATAATATTCTAACCGATGATGGAATATTTATTGTCTTTAATGAACTACAATTCTCAAATGATTGAGCCCCAATCAATTCTGAACCATCTCTTATATTAACTTGAATTAATCTGGTACATCCAAGAAAACAACAATCTGATATATTACTTATATTATACATATTTATTAAATTAGTACAATTCTCAAAAGCATTATTCAAAATCTCAGAATCTCTTGATGGAAAACTAAAATTAACTAAATTAATGCAATATTTGAAAGAAGAAAAGCCTAAGAAACTCAAGTTACTTGATGAGATATCCAGTGATTGAAGTTTTGAACAATTCAAAAAAGCATAATTTTCAATTATAGAAAGCTGAGAATTTTCTTCAAAAAATATTTTTGGAATTGTGGAATTTTCAAATGCTCTCTCTTTAATCATTTTAACTGATCTAGGAATTGTAATACTTTCATATCTGTATACACAAAATTCATATATTTCAGTTTGTTCGGAATCCATAATTAATGAATTATTAGTGATAATAAGATCTGATTTGTTCAAATATGAAATCATGACATATGTTTTTTTATTAATTGACTGACTTGAAAATAATGCTTTATACATGAATAACAATTTTAGTTTTGAAGAATACGTAATGAATCCTGAACCACTAACAATTATTGATGTACTGGAGAAAATAATAAGTTCGAGTTGATCACAATTTCTAAAAGCATTATTTTGAATCTGAGTAGGTCCTAATAAAGTAACATTCCTTAGGCTCGATGAATCAAAAGCCCACCATCCAATCGATGTCACACTTTCAGGAATTGTTATTGTGTTTAAATTTGAATTTCGAAAGCAACCAGTGTCTAATGATGTGACTGAGTTTGGAATAGTTATTGTTGTGAATTTTGTCGCAGAAAAGCACTGAGGTGAATTTTGATCCAAGAAAGCATGCATCACTTAATGTTTTGGTTATATTTGGAATTTCATATGTTTTTTCCGATTTATCACATATAAAATATAAGATGCTTTTGTCCTTTGAAAAAACAAAGTCGTTTTCAATTATTATTAAATAATTATTATTAGGATGAATTGTAAGATTTGTTAATTTAAAATTCGGTAATGATGCTCCATGGAGTCCTTGGACTTTTTCAGGTATTTGAAATGAAACAATATTAGTGTCATAAAAAGCAAGAAGTTCTAAATAAGTTAAATTTGAACCCTCTTCAAAAGAAACATTTTGTAATCCAGAGCAATAGATAAATGCATTACTGCCAATATAATTAACAGATGCTGGAATTATAAGACTTACGACTGAAGAAATGTAGTAAAAAGCATAACTTGATATTTTAAGGAGTCCTTTTGGTAATAATATCTCTTTTACGTGATAACAGTAATAGAACGCACTGTTACCTATTGATTTAAACTTGTTGCAGGATGATAAATTAATAAATTGTAGATTTTGACAATTATGAAAACTAGATCGACCAATTGTTGTTAAATTAGGATTTTCTTCAAAAGTAAACGATAATAGAGTTTTTAATTCTTTAAAGCAGTTTTCTTGTATAACTTTGCACTTAGAAGATATTCTGAGATGATTTGATGGATCAGTCACTTTAATGAGGGTTTCACCATCAGCTGAGTAGCAGCTTTGGTTGATATCTGTAAATACCGTAGCCAAAATGGTAAAAAGAATATGGATGTGAAGAGCGTTAGTAGAATGGAAAGACTTTGAAATTTTAAAAAATTTATCAGGACTAAAAAATTATTTGATTATAAAAAACATATTATATATCAATTGCTATATAGAACTATCATAACAGATTTTGGAAAAGCCGCAAATCCCCAAGTTGGAGAATTCATTAAATACTAATTATTCAGCTTTTTATCAGAAAGGAAGGTAGTGTAGTGGTTGGGAACGCTATGCTCTTTTTGAATCTAAAAGGCAACTGTTCAAATCATAACATCTTTGTTTTTTTTTCTTATTCTGCCATTATTGTTTTTCCTTGTTATGATTCAAATTAAAAATATTTTAGTAAAGGTATTTTGGACATCATTTTTTCACATTGTCTCAATGCAAATGTTTTAAAATTTTGTAGGCAATATGACAACTCTTTCAACATTTGTTCTCTTTTATTAACTCAAACAGATTTAGGATCTAATTTCATGCCTTCGAAGACATTTAAACCATCTTCAACATAATTTATTGACAAATTGATAACAATTACTCATGAATGTCGTAGATTTAATATCCTGTCACTCAGCAACAAATTCGGGTTCAATAACAAAGCTCAGTAAAAACTTTACAGAAATTCTCCAATTTATTTTAGTGTCTTTTTGCGTCATTACGGCTGCATTTTCTTCTGCATCTGAACGCTGTGTTTGAAGAAGACGAAATACAGAAACTTTCAACACAAGTAATCAGATTTTCTTGTCTTTCATGTTAAAATGCTTCATCTCGCTAGGTATACGTCATTTATTGGATGGATTGTTAGCTTTGTGTCCAAATAGCAAAAAAAAAGTATTAATTTAAATTTCGCATTTTGCATAAGTATACGCTTTAATTTATATCAAAACAGATTTAGATAGCTTAAAACAATATAGTTTACTCATAAATACATCTTGATAATTCACTTCTTCAATTTTCATAATCTTATATCCTGACCTATATCCTCTTATAAACCATATTTCTACTGAGATCTTCTTAAAGCATCTTTTTATCCCTATCTACGCCTCGAAACCCTATTTTTCCGGCGGAATATGAATCTTCGGGTCTCGCTGATTCGATTTCTGCAGTCAGATCGTAAAAATACCACTACATAGCCTGATAATCTCAATTTAAGTTCCTTAATTTTTTTGAAAAAAAAATTAAAACTCCCTTATCAAACATCATGCTCATTTTTACGAATTTCATTTTTCCTTTAAGTTTAAAATATACGCTTTTTAGCATGTTTATAATACATTTTCAATTTACATTTACATTTTTATTTTTGAATTGTTTATTTATATTTCCGTTTGAACAATAATATTTATTGAAAATTGTGAGAGAAACGGATATAATAAAAAAACGCCATACAACAAAATTCACTTTTTTTCATACTTACGCGGATCACTCCTTTTCGGCCCAATATGCCGGAAATGATAAAACTCTCAGATCTAGTTGCTAAGATCCAAACTCTCGACTCTCAAATCTACTTCCTCAGATCTAGTTGCTAAGATCCAAACTCTCGACTCTCAAATCTACTTCCTCAGATCTTGTTGCTAAGATCCAAACTCTCGACTCTCAAATCTATTTCCTCAGATCTTGTTGCTAAGATCCAAACTCTCGACTCTCAAATCTACTTCCTCAGATCTTGTTGCTAAGATCTAAACTCTCGACTCTCAAATCTATTTCCTCAGATCTTGTTGCTAAGATCTAAACTCTCGACTCTCAAATCTACTTCCTCAGATCTTGTTGCTAAGATCGATCTATTATACTCAATTTTACTTAAGCAATATAGATCACCTTTATTATGATTCTCTTTATCTGTACTTGTTTAAAATTAAATTACATCATAAAGATCTAATTACAAATTATTTAGAATTTTGAAATAAAACCAGTATTTTATCAAATGCTTTGAGATTAATGCATTCAAACTTAAAAAAAAAGACATATTCAGATCAATTTCAATATTATTGATTTTTTACTGTAAAAACTATGTCTACATAGATCTCAAACAATTTTATTAGATACTCTTTTTCCCAATTTTTTTCAAAATCTCTTTTTACATATCAAAAATTGTATTTTTCAATTTCATTTTTATTTTTTCCATATTTTTTTTGGAATTTGGATATGCGTCCAAAGTAGTTATGTCATTAGAAAAATATTAGATATCTGAAGAGAAAATGATAACTTAGAGAGTTTTAAAGATTTTATTTTCGAATACAAATATAGACCTCAGAGGAATACATTCTAAATAAATTTGTATCTGAGGGTGAATAAATAAGAACAAAATTTAAAGGGTTAGCATAAATAATGTAGAAATTAAGATTGGAATTTAAATTTAATACAAAATTAAAGGGAATGAATTTGCGATTAGTAGGGTATGGCAAATGGATTGGGAAACATTGGTTACACATGAAAATTATCAGATGTAAGAATTTGGTGCAGATATTTTAAAAATGAGATCTGAGTGCTTAAACAATATCTCAAAATTCAAATTTTCCAAATGAAAATTTGGAAAATTCCCAAAATGCAGAATCAACTGATGATTTTCAATCATTAATAACGCCAATACAAGAAGATCATTTTCCTTCTGCCAACGAACTAAAACAATGGTTTGATATTGCCCATGATGTTTTAATTAGTCCGCCACCTGAGAATCAACATCCAGAAATTGATGAAGAAGAGACACAAAAAGCAATTTATCTATTACAAAACTTAGACTTTCCTAAGAAATAAAATTATTTAATTTATTCTTGTTTGTTTTTTAATTAAACATGTATATTTATTAACATTTCCTTTTTTAATACCTTTCCAACTTCTATTAGTAACAAATACATAACTAATTTGAAGATTTAGCGTTATGAAGAAGTATCCAAGTAATAACGTCAATAATGCATTTGCGATAGGATATAATTGCACCAAAGGTTAAAACTTGTATAAAGAATGAAAAATGAAATTTAATACAATTTTTTTTCGAAAAAAATCCATGCTTGGCTAGATTTTCATAGTTATTGAATATGCATTACTGACATCTTGTAAAAGATGCCGATCAAGGCTTTCAAGATTGCTAAATTTCTCGATTAAAATTTACATTTTTTTTTTATTTGTGTTTAATTACATTTTACAGTTTGCAGACTTACATAAAATCCGCAACATAGTGGTTATTTAATATTTGCCCCACAGTATTGTAGTTTGAAATTTACGATAAGATTATAATTGATAAAGTAAGGTTTTGTCATTAATGCATCTTATAAACTTTCATTGATAAATATGGATAGATAAGTTCTGTGTTCAAAAGTAAGCATTTTTTAAAACGCGCAATTATATCAAGAACGACTATCATAAATTCATGAGTATCGATGATTTTCGTTTAGGATGGACTTAATCGGCTTGATTGATATACATATTTTAAAATGGCATAGCTTTGTGCATGTTATGTCAAGCATTGTGCCAAACCAATTTAAAATGAAACAAATTATTTTAAAGAAACTATATATGAACTATTCGAACACTTTATATTAATGTAGGGAGCTATAAATTTAAATATTCTAAAAATTTATTTATTTGTTAAGAGTTCGGAACAAATTTATTATTGAATATATAGGAAATCAAATAATTATGCATAATCGCATAAAAAAATGCTGAAACAATGAAAAGAAAAAAATAGTTGCCCAATAGAAAAAGTCGAACCCATACCCCTGCCATTGAGTTATCCTCACTTTCAAGTTTCGATCGAAAAAAAGGTATTTAATCGCGTAACTCGCACCTTTTAGTCGTATTTCGAAGTTCTATATAGTATTAAAGATTAAGTTACATTATGTACAAAATAACTTTTTATTGTTATTTGATTTTGATAGCATTATTAGCTGAATATGAAAATCTCGTAGAAATAATCATTTCATTCAGACATAAGTATTGGATTGTTTCCCAACAAGCATAATAACACACGTTTCATATTATAATTTATTTCATTTCTGTACAAAATTTAGATAACGATATCAAATAAAAAAAACTGTGGCATTTTTTTACTTCAAACTATCATGAAGTGTAACCAAATTGGGTGAGTATTCTTGCTATCAGTATGACATGAAAAAGTGAACGACAAAAATTGAAGATATTGTAGTTAACTCGGATTTTTTTAATTGCAAACACATCTATAATTTGTTTAAATATCATTTATTATATCAAAATCGAAAAATTCGTTTTTGGAAATCTTTGAATTTATGAGAAGTTCTACAAAGACACTTACAAATATAGCGTTTGCAATAAAAAGGCTCTTTAATCTTCTTCATCCTTGCTCAGAAACTTCTACTGGTTACCTTACGGGTAACCTGCAAAGCTGCTTCCAAGGCATCGGGAAAATAACGTATTTTCGTGAGACTACCTTTAAAAATTCTTCGAAAATTTTTCCGAAAGGGGTTTCTGATCAAAATTGAATGTCAAGAATTAGCGATTTTTTAAAAAAATCGGAAATTGTCATTTTGGAATACCATAGAAAAAGGAAAGCATCAAATATATTTATGAAAAAGGATAGCATTATTTAGATTGAAGTTTCAATTATTCATTTGAAGATAATTCACTCGCAATCTAATAGTTAATATCTTTCATCATTTGTATTTATCGTAATGTACATAGTACCAAATAAGTCATTTTTAGGCACAATGAAGTGAAAATATTCAATGAAATTTCCTTTGAATAAACAAACAACAATATTTAATAATAAAAACTACAAACAATATATTAATACATGAAAAATTATTTTCTTGATACAGCAAGTTTTGCTAATCTAGATGTTCCAGGTCTGATGGCCCTAGTTTGAGTTGCTGGTCTAGGAGTTCTATGTGCTGATAGAGGAGGAGTTCTTTGAGTAACAAAAGCACGTGGTGTCTTCTTTGTTTCAACAATTGGAATGTTTTGAGCTTCCAAGTTCTTATCAAACTCAATGATTCTTTGACGCCAGTTTTCAACAGCTCTTTCAAGAGCTGATCTCTCCGCTTGATGATCTTGCTCTATCCTCTGTCTTAATCTTGCATTCTTTTCAATGAGACACTTCCTGCGTTGGTCGAAAGATTCAACCAATTTATTTCTTTGTATTTTCCTTTGTTTCAGATATTTTTCGTGAATTGCTTTGACTTCTTCTATTTCCTTTTGATCTGCTTCTGCTTTGATACCAGCAGCTTCTTCGAATCGACGGCTTAATACTAAAAACTTCTCTGTTTCTCTAAGATTTAATAATGCCGATGAAAATTTAAGCTTTTCAACTGGTAAATCGCCATTTGTTACTGCATCATGATCATTTAATGTTACTTCCTCTTCCGCATTTAAAGCATCTTCAGCAGCTTTAGATCTTTCATCATGATCTTCAAGTGCTTGACGTAATGATTCATTTTCTTTTCTAAGAGCTTCTTCTGCTTGTGTAAATTGATATACAAGTGCTTCTCTCTTTTCATTCTTTTTCATTTCTACCATCCTTTCGTTAGATAGGGCAACTAGCGTATTTCCAACATCCTCGTAGCGTTGAGCTTCTTTGTAATTGCCTGTAGATAACTCTTGATTGACATGATCTCGAGCTGCTTGAATTAATGAAGGAAGTAAATAATTTTCAGCGACATCAAGAGGAAATCCATCCATAATATCTGCAAGAACTGATTCTACGACAGCTGGTGTGATTTCTTTATGAGAATCTTCAGTTGTTGTATCGATTGAACGAGATGTTGATTTTTCACTTTTCGCTTTATGTTTTCCGATTGATTTTCGTTTTCTGTCTAGTTTTGACAACTCTGCCATGATAGATTGTAGCTTTCTGACTCTTTCAACTTGGCCATTTGCGATTGCTGTTTGTTTGTGCTGTTCCATTGCATCAATGACTTGCGGAATTATCTTAGGATTGACTTCTGATACAGGTTTTCCACCGACAAGTTCTCGAACAAGTCGTGTCAGTTTCCTTTCATCTTCAGATTCCATTTTGATTATAAAATTTTTGTACGTTTATTCGCTCTGCAAAGAAAAAAATACTTCATTCGTCCAGGAATCAATATCTATGATATTCATCGGCATATGACACGAGGATGAATGTTTGAAGCAAGTGTTTCGTAAAATAGATCAGCGAATGGATTATTTCGGCCAAATGTCTCTGTAATTCATTTGATCTTCAGCATTACAAGAGATATTATGTATATGTAAATAAGGTTGATTGTGAAATCATGATGATATCGTTTGAAATGATGAAAATTTAAAACAAAATATCTGATAAATTATGAGATATCTGCAAAATAAAAAAAAAAAAAAAAAAAAAAAAAAAAAGGTAGTGGGGCTTCCAGGGGCTGCGCCCCTTCTAGCCCTGAAGATGTTTAGTATAAATGAAGTTTATATTTGGAGGGCTTCCAGGGGCTGCGCCCCTTCTAGCCCTAAGAATTTTGCCCAAGACCCAAGAGGAGGACCGAACCCCAGCCGACCAGCCGGTGACAAAACCAAAACCGTTGTTATTTACATCATATTAATAGTGTCATATAAACATCTGTCAAAAACCGCTTTTTAACTTCACTTAAAATGCCACGTAAGCTACGTAAGAATATACGTAAGAGGAAGGGAGCATTGAAACATCCAATAGTAAAACTGACACCACAACAACAGTTGCAACAACAAATGATGAATGACCCCACTATGTTGCAACAAATGTCAAGCAACCCTATGCTTTTAAACCGAGTTATTGGTGCACAGAGTGGAGGTTTAAGAGCGGCACTTTTAGCGAAAATGGCAGGCTATGGTGGAGCTGCAGACGGAACAGCTTATAACCCTCAAAGTCAAATGAATTTGAGTTCACTCAAAAATCAAATAACAGATGTCAAAAAGTCAAACATAGACATACAGAAACAAATAAGTGAAAACGAAAAGAAACTAGAATATGACAGACACACAAAGAAACTCAATGAGTTAAACGTAGAGAAAAAGAAGAAAGAAGAACAACTGAAAGAACTAAGTACAGAGGAATATGCGAAAAAAGTGTCAGAAAAAGCAGCAGAAGTAGCAAAAATGGAACAAGATGTTATAAATTTGAAAAACCATACTACTCAATATAAAGTACTGAAAGATGAAGAGATAAAACAAAAAGCCCTGAAGACATATATGGATAGCGATGAGTATAAAAAAGAAGTTGAAGCAAATGTAAAGGCAGAAAAACTTTTACAGTTGCAAAACCAAACCGTACAGTATGAAAACTTAGCACAAGAAAGTAAAAATAACGACGCAGCCATGCAAAAGGCAATGAAAAGCGCAGAATATATAAAAGCTAATAATGACTGGTTAGATGCCCAAGCCAACGCTAAAGCAGCCCAACTTATAGGGTCAATAAGGACAAAAATACAAGCGGATGAAGACAGTTCAAATGAAGCTTTAATGAATGCTGACTTTAAGAACGCCTTCGAAGCTCTTCATAGTAAGGTGAAACTAGTGAACGACTTCTCATCTGGAAAGAAACTGAAGTCTGAAGGTTTCGACAAAGAGTTAAAAGAAGTAGCACAAAATATGACGAAAATAACAGATGCAGCAACGAGACAGGCAGTTCAAAGTGCCTATGACGCCGTTAGAGCAACTGTTGTGGAAAGTCAAGAAAAAGAGTTACAACAGACCAAAACAGACCTAGTAAATGCTTTCTTAAGAACGAAAAGTCAGGTAGGACATTATGCTGCAGATGGAACATATGTGCCAGCTGGTGGAACTTATATACCACCAAACCCTCCAAGAGAAGCACCTGCACCAGGACTACCTAAAACATTTACATCGTCACATGGACACAGACACAGGCATGCACCAAAACCAACACAACAACCAACAGTTCAAAATCCAGCACAACAACAACAACCAAAACCAACAGTTCAAAACCCTGCACAGCAACCAACAGTTCAAAACCCTGCACAGCAACCAACAGTTCAAAACCCTGCACAGCAACCAAAACCAGCACAACAACCACCTCCACAACCAGCACAGCAACCATCTCCACAACCAGCACAACAACCAACAGTTCAAAACCCTGCACAACAACAACCACAAACAGAGCAAGGACATAAAAGAAGTAGAGAACAAGGAAACCAAGAATTCTTAAAAATGCTTAAGGAAGATTATGGTTACCCAGATACTCTTGACTTTAGTGACAGATATAAAGAAGCTATTAGAAAGTTCAAGGAAGGAAATACTGACCCGAACCTATTTAGCTTTATGGTTCAGCACCAAATGGGATATAATCTTAAACCTGGAAAATACAAGCTCGCTAAGGGATATGATTTAATAGCATATCATCCAAATGACATGAATGAATTTACTCCGAGATATTTGGTGTCAGAGCTAAATGATAATTCAACTCTCTTCATGAAACGCGTAAAAAATAGAGACGGAACGAAAGAAGAAAGGTTTATGAGTCCGGATGACTTAGATAGGGAACTTGTTAAAAACGGTCTCGGAATATATGAAATGCCAGCAGATGAGGTACAAGAAACTCAACAGGAAGAAGTTCAGATACAACCAGACATGGAAGAAATAGTTCAGCAACAACAGCTAGAAGAGCCTGAAGGAAACGAACAAGTCCCTCCTTTGGAAACTAACTTCACAGAACTAGATGAAGATTTGGAACAGCCGAAAAATCTTGACCCTCAACAAGAGTATGAAGTGAATATGGAATCTTTCCAAGAGTCTAAGAAAAATTCGGCTGACATAGTAGAAGAATATCGAAAAATGTTCGCCGACATACAAAAGACTCCAACATCAGATGAAAATATTCAGCATAGAATGGAAGTACTGAAAGAAAATGTACGCAAATACAATAATCCTTTTTACTTACGACCATATAACGTTCAATCTTTGGCTGAACTCGGTGAAAATAAAAGGTTAAATTTCAACAAAACATATAGAAATGAAACATTGTTTAAAGTTCATTCAGAACCTAACCAATATGGAAACAAACCTACTTTTGTTTCTGCAGACTATGGAACTACAATGAGATGGGGTCATAAAGCTAATCCGGATAGGTGGTTCATAAACTTACAACCACAATTCCAAGAAGTTGTAGACGCAATGGAAGTGAATGGTGAACCAGATATAGCTGGTATTTTCAGCGCGGCTTTAATGCCATTGAAAGATATGAAACATGCAGATATTTTGGACCAGTATGAAATGAACATGGCTGATGGAAATATAACACCTGACGTTCTAGAACATTTATCTCAAAGAACTACACAGAACCATAGAGATGGTATATTTGGTGAAGAGTTTAGAAAGAAAGTTAGGGAGAGAGAAGGAAGAGAACCTATTGTACATGACCTTGCAAACGAAAGTTTGCAAAATGTCATAAAAACTTACTTTGCAGACAATGAACCGAGAATGGATGAATATTTAAGAAAACTCAAATGGACAGTACCAAATGAAATGTTAGTATTGAAAAACATGTTCCTTGACAAAATAAAACCAACTACAGAAATAAATGACGCAAGACTGAAACATTGGGTAAAAGCTTTCCCATTCACAAAAGATATTATTGGTAACATGGAAAGAAAACCAGAATGGCTACAAAAACATATATTTGGAAACGAGCTTATTCCATATGGACAAGCTCTGTTTGAAGAGCTTGAACCGGAAACTCAGGAAAGAGTCATGCAAACAATACGCGAAGACTCAAATACAAACTATGACAAAATCTTTCTAGGATATAGGTTACCTGAGATGGGCGACCAGAGCCCAAAGGCAAAAAGGACATGGGAAATTTACAACATACTAGGTGAACATGAGGCAAAGATGCAACAACTTGAAGCAGAGGGCAAGTTACCAAAAGCGACACCAAAGAAGAAGAGTAGAACAAAGTGAAAGTAGTGAAGAAGTAACTTCATCTAGTGAAAGTAGTGGCAATGAAGGAAAAAGAAGAGTTAAAAACTCAGTCAGGAAGAAAGTAAAGCTTGGTCCGAAACAATTATGACACATAAATCCAACTATTCTATATTTTTACCCATATGAAATGTACGCCGCTCAGAATATAACGCCAACAGTTTTGGATGCCATGAACGGAAATGTTTCCGAATGGTATAACGAATGCGACAATGCCATTAGAAGGTCAGAAATAGTTCCTGGAACTTACGAATATACAACTGCTGTTTCTTATGGAAACGTAGGTGAGTTTGGAGAAGGCTCTTCAACAACAGTAGATATTGCTTGCGACAGGTTTCATATTATTTCTATTGACAACTCATTCTTATACGTGGAAAACAAGACATTGAAATAAAACCTTCTGCCAAGTTGTCTGACAAGAAAGGTTGCAATGGAATTTTCTATGTCGGATACCAATATGCTCCAAAAGTTTTCATGGGATATAAGATATATTCTAACTCTGACTTAGTTCAAACAGTAACATGGGCAAACTATGAATGGTTCGCTTTGAGAAACTCAGTACAACCACAAGCTAGAGAGCAAACAGACCAGTATGCAACTATTGAGAAAATAAGAAGACTTGACCCTAACGTTCCAGGAGTTTATGTTAACCTTTCTGGTTCAGATGGAACTGCTGCCACTAAAGTAAAACTGAAACTTAGAGTTCCTTTGTCATCTTTCCTCATCTTCAGGTTTTTAAGATACTTGCCAAACTGGGCAGGAAAAATTTCTATCGAACTTACTCCAAGCAAAAATAACTTAGTCATTGCACCAACACAAGACCCATTCACTATTACAGACGTAAAGGGAACAAATCAAACGTCATTCGCCGAATTTTGCAAAGACAAAGTTGACTTAGACTTTGGTTTCTCAAACTTCAACAATGAAGTAAACTATTATTTCAATGCTGCTGGAACTGCTTGGGACCCAGTTAAGTTCACATGCGAAAAATTTGAATGCAAGAGAATAGAAAGCAGACTTGCAGTCTATATGTTGGACCCAGATATTTCAAATGCTTTAGCTGCCAAATATATTGCAGTTCCACTTATGTTCCCTATACACCAAATATCTGTCAAAGACTTTGCAGGTGAAGTTGGAAACCAAAGTGCTGACCCAGGTGCAAGAACAGATATTGCTTTAACAACTGCAATGAAACATGCAGATACTATGTTTGTACTGTTCAGACGAACTATAAATGACTATTCTTGTTTCTACAACCCTGGTATTAAATATCATATAAACATAGATGGCAAATATTATCCAAGAGAAGAATATTCTACAGTTGAGGATATGAGGTCATACAACTTGACATTAGATGCTATGAACTTTAACAACAACTTCACAACAACCATTAACCCTGAAATGCAAAGTTCTATTATGCCATATGTGAAAGTATGGACTCATACAGGAGGTCAAAAAACTCAATATACAAATGGAGACCGTTCAAACTTTTGGCTTGGCATTCCATTTGCTGACTCAGAAGACTTTATGGGTGGTATTTCAACTGTTGGTACTGTACAAATACAATATACTGGTGACAGAGACGGTCCAGATGAATTGAAAGCAAAGAAGTTTACAAAACCAATAGCACTTTTCACGGAAGATGCTCTTTTGAAGATTCGTTCGATGAAACCTGCTGGGGCTCCTCAGATTGGCATAACGACAGCTTCCATCGAGCAGATTTTGGCAGCAGGTCAGTAAGTTGTTCTTGAACTGACTTCTCTCCGTCAAATATTGACAGTACGCCAGTTTTAGTTAGTATACAAGTCTTGGGTATGGTGGCACTGCGTTCCACTTTACCCAATACTTGTGAATTTGACACTTTACAAAACCGTTAACGTGTATTTTACAACACAAACGACAACACTAACTTAACCTTAAATATTTACAAAGCCGCCAACCACTTCACTTCACTAACGAACTCACTAATGTAAAAATAAACGTTCTCACTATCGTTCTCACTAACAACTTCACTAATGTTCTCATAAATTTTCCTCAATATCTTCATCATCAGTGTTAACCCTATTGTAGTCATACTTGAAGCCATAAACTTTCTCTAACTTCTTAACGTACAATTTACATAACTTACCTTCGTCATCGTATGGTTTAATGATATAACTATTTCTATCTTTATAAACAGTCAATGAAAAGTCAACTGGTCTCGGATGTATTTGAAAGAACATGTTATGCTCAGAAAGGAAGAATAAATGTTTAAATGTATGTTTGTTATATGTTTTGATTTGTATGAGTTGCTTTTGTTCTGTCATTTACATCCAAATAAAAAATTTCAGTAAACTTAAAAATAAAATAAAAAATTAATGATATCACCACCCGCACACGTATGAAAACATAGCACAAAAATAAATTTAGGGTAGAATGTTAGATCTAACACGTTTTCTAACCTCTTTTCTAACCTGTTGAATTCATTACTTTATAACTCTCTTCCTTTCTCCAACTCTTCTAACTTCTTCTTAAGTTCAGCAATGTTGTCCTCATGAAGTTTAATCTTTCTCAAAATTCCTTCTTTATCTAATGGTTGCTTTATCTTTCTAAACTGAACTCTACCATCCTTCATAGTATGAACGTAAAAACCTTCTGGAACCGCTCCTGATTTAATGTATTCTACCAAAAATTTTTGTTTCATTGCTTCAGTGACTTTAGTCGTCATTTCAATCAAATAAAAATTTTAATATTAAATAAAAATAACGTTATTTTTTCAGTAAGGAAACGCAGGAGTTTTACGATTTATTTGTGGTGTAGGTTCTGGTTTAAATGTTGGAGTCGGTTTTGGAGTTGACTTTTGAACAGGAGTTTGTAATTCCATAGGTTCAGGAGTCATTGAAGGTGTTGTTTGTGAAGGCGTTGGTTTTGGCGATGGTGTCGGAGTTTGTTTAACTTCAGCTACTTCAGTATTATTTATAACATTTGCTTTATTTCTTTTCAACATCATTACTGCTCCTGCTGTAGCTAGCAAACCTAGTGGGAGACCATATTTTATATAAGGACTTGACCAAATGCTATTTTTGACAGGAGCTGGTGGAACACCTAACCTTGGTGAGACTGCTCTTTGCCATTGTGCAGCTCGTAAGAAATATTCAATAGGTGCTCCATAATCGTTTGGTAAAGTTTGTTTCATAGATGGTGAAGGTTCGCGAGAGCTTGATGAAGAACTCATTTATAAGCTTTAAAAATAAACGTTCATCCTTTATTCCTCACCGTCGTCCGTAGCTAAGTTATAGTCATCTAATCTTATTATTGGGATTCCATTAGCACGCACCTGAATGGCAAAGCAACAATCCCTCATAAATCCAATAAGTGGCTTTGGTACGTTTTCAGTTGCTAGTTCAATAGGTCCTTTAACAGACAATTTGTATGTTATTGGAGCAGTAGATGTTTGACCTTGCTGGAAGCAAAAGTCCACTTCTGTTGGAAAACCACATAAGAAATGTGTGTTGTCATAGCTATCCCATTTATGTTCCACACTACCATCATCCACCAATGACCTCATAACATCTTCATTAAATCCTATCATATCATTGTTTGTATTGCAAGCGTTCGCAACCATTTCATAAAATACAGGTCCATATGATTTTTCAGGTTCTGCAGGCATATTTCCATAAGCTCCCATGGAAAGCTGAAGATATTTAAACTTAGGGTTCTCAAAATTAACATAATAGTTGTCTTTCTTTCTAAATAGTGCCCAAATACTTTTAACATTAATAGGCGTATAAGCTGCTGTAAATGTTGCACTTGAACTATCTGTATTCTTTGAGAATGAACCGTCCATAGGAATCCAATCCATAACTTTAACAGGAAAACATAAAGCCTCGTTTGTATAATGTTCTACAAGTTCTGTATAAATGTTAGGGTCTAAAGAGAATGACTTTGGATGAATGAAACATTCATTAAAATCCATCTTTGTTCGAAATAGTTGCTGGTTTACAGTTGTAATAGTAACTGTTCCACTAGCTTCTACTGCCTTCGTTATCATAGTGAATGGTTCATTCCATGGAACAAATTTATTTGTCGGTGGATTTGAATCTGAAGCAAATGCAACTTTAAGAGTTGGATTGAAAGCAATGATATCATTTACAGATATAGATGTGCATTGTAAGGCGTCGCTACTGAACTTTACTTTAAGCTGAATGTTTCCTGCAAAAGCTGGAATAAATCGAATAGCTTCTAATGGAAGGAATCTTCTAACAGGAATTCTTAAACGAAGCTTAAAATCAAATGATTTTCCTGCTGTAATTGGACCACTAACAATTTGTCCTGTTCTGCATGTTCCCGAATGACTCCATACATCTTCATGTCGAGTCTTTGAAAAAACATCTACTTTCTTTATTTGTTCGGTAGTTTGTGAGTTTGAAGTTATATATGCTTCTTCTCTTGCGTTGTCTTGAGAATATACGATACGACCATTTGCAAGGATTTGATATCCAGCAACTGCATAGAAAGCGTCATCGAAACCAATCCAAAATCCTGGTGGGTTTGTTTTATTGGAACCTGAACCAATTTCTTTATCTGCAATAAATTGACCTTCCATTTTATACGTAATGAATGTATTGTAAAGGTCCAACATATTTTCACCAGGAGGTGAGAGATTGAATGTTACCCATGTGTTATCTTTAGCAGTTCCAGGTTGTGATGGAATCTTTGCGTCAGAATATTTTCTATTAGTGTCACCAATTTGAACTGCATTGTCTATGATATCGAAATATGAGCGAATCTGATGAATATGCTCTGCTGGAGTAAATTCGTTTAACTGTTCGTTCTGCATGTATTTACTTCAGATAAAAATATCTATTTACTTCATTATTCTCACTCTTCTTCTTGGTATTCGTGGTGGAAGTTGTTTCTTGACATTTTCAATGAACTGTACATTCTCTTTTGTCTCGACTTCTTTCACTGGCGGGTCAGGGTTCTTTGACTCGGTTTGCTTTTCAATGAAATTCACGAACTTTGCAATAAGCTCTTGGTTCGTTATTGAAAGTACATCTGGCTTCTTTTCTTCTTGTTCTATTGACTTTTCAGTTTGAACAGAAGGTTTTATATGGGCTTCGTGGACTTCACCCTTGCCATGCACCTTAATGTTGTCGCTCTCTGCATTCGCTAATGGAACCTTTCTTTTTCTTACATATATTTTACCATCTTTACTCTGACTTACGTAATAGAAAGGATGTTGTATTCCTCTTGCGTCATTTAATATAATAGACTCTCGCTCTGATTTTGACAAGCTCATTTTACATCGGTTAAAGTTTTAATTTAGTTTTTTATCTGCAGTCAAATGACTCAGACAAGCCCTACGGACAAGACCCAGGGGGTCATAGATGTTGAAGCATTGAAGAAAGAAATTCGCGAGCAAATTTTATCCGAACTGAAGGAACAAAAACAAGAACAAAAGCCAGAGAGACCAAAGAGAAAACTTAGTGAAAAACAACTAGCTGCATTAGCTGCTGGAAGACAGAAGAACCCACGTTTGCTGGCGAAAAAAGCTAGAGAAGAAGCAAAAGCTAAAGAAGCTGAAGCAAAGAAAGAGTAAATGGTTTATTTTTATCCGAATTAAATGTATAGACAAATACCTTTATCTGTTGCGTTCAGTAGTGAAAACCCTGACGTCAAAATAAAGGGGAACAGAGTAACGTTTAAGTTTCCAACAGACTGGATTGTGAACATAAATGAAGAGAAGTACATTGGCATAACATCTATGTATATAACACGTGCTTTCAGAAAGGTTGACTTTATACTTCAAGTCGAGATAGAAAATGACGAACAGTCTTTAAGCGCCCAAAACATTCACATATACAAATACTTTAAAGACGATACAACATTGTTGCAATGTATGATTTCATTTAATGAGATGTTCGAGAAAAAGTTCAACATTGAAGTACAAACTTTACAGCCTTTACGTGAGTTTCTTGCACAACTGAAAGAAGAAGGTAGTCAGCCACAACTTATAGACTTTCATTATGAATTTAATGAAAATGAAGATGGAACTCATGACTGTCAGTTTGTTATATATTCACCATTCAATGAAGTCGCTAAAAAGAAAGAAAATCCATTACGTATAAGGTTTCAAATCTCTGAACCCAATGAAGACTTCAAGAATGTTTTCAATTATGATGCAATGCTTCCGAGGAAAAATGAATTTTCAAAGATTGTAACACCTGGCATTTGGGATAGAAAGCAAGCAATACTTTACTCTAATATAGCCAAAGGCGTTGAAAATGAGTTCATTGGTCATACAAGAACTTCACCACTTCCTAACCCTAAATACTATAAATTAACTGGCTTCAATCGTGAGTTTTGGATAGACATGTACTCCACTCATGACCATAAATGTCCAGTGTTCTTGCCTCCAGATGGGAAGGACTGTCTCTACATTGAAGCACAACTCTTAAACTCTACCATCGCAGTATTGTAAAATCTACGCTAGCTTTATTTTTATCACGAATGACCTCATTGCTGACAAAAATAAGCCGCTAGCGGCAAGGGCGAAGCCCATGACCTCAGAACTTCAACTTACGAATAAAGCTTGTTTTAGTCGTTATTGAAAAGTTGAACTTTTCAGCAAAGCAAGGTTGACATGACTTACATAAGTCGAATGCAATCTCTTGACCATCATGAAGTGCTTTGTAAAGTTTCATTAAACTGAACTCAGAGTCTTTGTCAAATTTTCCTTGCGGAACCATTAAACCTTTATCTTCATCATTGAAACACTGAACAGAGTCAGGAAACATTTCATTAGCGGTTAAAGCAATAACATCTTGCTTCACGCCTTTCATTCTGCAGTGAAATGCAACTTCATTTAAATCATTCGTGAGTAAGTCTATGTAAGTCTTCTTTCCACAAAATATTGACTTGTATGCTAAACTTTGTTTATCTTTTGTGATTTCTGCAAAGTCGCTATGAAATTGACCCCGACGTTATTTGAGCAAAAATATATTTTTGAAGAACTGAAGGTGTCACCACGTCACCATGTCACCAGGTTATTTAACTTCTTTTAAAAATGATGACAACATGACATTTAGACAACAGGTACGAAAGGAGGAAGACATTTATGAATTATTTTTGAAGAACTGAAGGTGTCACCACGTCACCATGTCACCAGGTTATTTAACTTCTTTTAAAAATGATGACAACATGACATTTAGACAACAGGTACGAAAGGAGGAAGACATTTATGAATTATTTTTGAAGAACTGAAGGTGTCACCACGTCACCATGTCACCAGGTTATTTAACTTCTTTTAAAAATGATGACAACATGACATTTAGACAACAGGTACGAAAGGAGGAAGACATTTATGAATTATTTTTGAAGAACTGAAGGTGTCACCACGTCACCATGTCACCAGGTTATTTAACTTCTTTTAAAAATGATGACAACATGACATTTAGACAACAGGTACGAAAGGAGGAAGACATTTATGAATTATTTTTGAAGAACTGAAGGTGTCACCACGTCACCATGTCACCAGGTTATTTAACTTCTTTTAAAAATGATGACAACATGACATTTAGACAACAGGTACGAAAGGAGGAAGACATTTATGAATTATTTTTGAAGAACTGAAAGTGTCACCACGTCACCATGTCACCAGGTTATTTAACTTCTTTTAAAAATGATGACAACATGACATTTAGACAACAGGTACGAAAGGAGGAAGACATTTATGAATTATTTTTGAAGAACTGAAAGTGTCACCACGTCACCATGTCACCAGGTTATTTAACTTCTTTTAAAAATGATGACAACATGACATTTAGACAACAGGTACGAAAGGAGGAAGACATTTATGAATTATTTTTGAAGAACTGAAGGTGTCACCACGTCACCATGTCACCAGGTTATTTAACTTCTTTTAAAAATGATGACAACATGACATTTAGACAACAGGTACGAAAGGAGGAAGACATTTATGAATTATTTTTGAAGAACTGAAAGTGTCACCATGTCACCATGTCACCAGGTTATTTAACTTCTTTTAAAAATGATGACAACATGACATTTTGACAACAACACAGGAGGAAGGCAGTTATGAATTATTTTTGAAGAACTGAAGGTGCTACCATGTTACCATGTGCTACCAGGTTAATTAACTTCTCTGAAAAAATGAGACAACATGACATTTTGACAACAACACAGGAGGAAGGCAGTTATGAATTATTTTTGAAGAACTGAAGGTGTCACCATGTCACCATGTCACCAGGTCATTTAACTTCTCTGAAAAAATGAGACAACATGACATTTAGACAACAGGTACGAAAGGAGGAAGACATTTATGAATTATTTTTGAAGAACTGAAGGTGTCACCACGTCACCATGTCACCAGGTTATTTAACTTCTTTTAAAAATGATGACAACATGACATTTAGACAACAGGTACGAAAGGAGGAAGACATTTATGAATTATTTTTGAAGAACTGAAGGTGTCACCACGTCACCATGTCACCAGGTTATTTAACTTCTTTTAAAAATGATGACAACATGACATTTAGACAACAGGTACGAAAGGAGGAAGACATTTATGAATTATTTTTGAAGAACTGAAGGTGTCACCACGTCACCATGTCACCAGGTTATTTAACTTCTTTTAAAAATGATGACAACATGACATTTAGACAACAGGTACGAAAGGAGGAAGACATTTATGAATTATTTTTGAAGAACTGAAGGTGTCACCACGTCACCATGTCACCAGGTTATTTAACTTCTTTTAAAAATGATGACAACATGACATTTAGACAACAGGTACGAAAGGAGGAAGACATTTATGAATTATTTTTGAAGAACTGAAGGTGTCACCACGTCACCATGTCACCAGGTTATTTAACTTCTTTTAAAAATGATGACAACATGACATTTAGACAACAGGTACGAAAGGAGGAAGACATTTATGAATTATTTTTGAAG